CCCCCCCCCCCAAGGAACGGCGGCAGGACCGTTGACAAAAAGTCTGTCAAAAGCTGACTCTTTCCTTCAGAACAAACCTACTACAGCCATAATGGTAGAAAAAGCACATAGGGTATGACACCAAGCGTTGCTCGCATTTCTCGTATGGCTTGGCTTCAGACTACCTACCACCGGTCTTCAACTGCCGGACTGTGCCGGTTAGGACGGCATTGAGAATAGTAAGAGAAAATCACATGTTACGCCTAATTCGTACTACTTCTTATCCCACAAAGGCAGGCACTTTCGCTTTTGAGAAGTATGTCGCTCTGGGCGTGGCTTTGGTGGTGTTCGATACCTCCCTCGTATCAGTGTCGCTGTACGCATGCCGCAAGGCTCAAAACCAGATGCTAGGAACAGGCAACTATCGCAGTATGCTCTTTGATCACTCTATTTTTTTTCATTTCTCCCCTAGCATTTGCCATGTAATCTCACCTGCATCTTGCGAGGTCCGCGCAGCATTACGCGGCTTCGTCTTTTGCAATAGTTCCCTACAGCCTTCACTGCTCCGGACTCTTGCATACGGAATTGAGAAAACGCAGAGCTTTCACCAAGATCTAGTCTGTTCTTCTAAACCTTTGTTGTTTTTTTTTGTGCTTGTCGCGTCCTCAAAGGTTATTCAATGGAAATGGAATGCGACGGGAATTATCAGCCAGGTCAGCCTCGACCAACGAGCTGGCTGCGCAGAGCCTGGCCAACTCAACTTGCGCATCTCAACTTACAACTGGCTAGTTAATCCGCCCGATAAAAAAAGAAAAAGATAACATACAACAGCCGGTGTTCGCTGGTCGTCACCGAACCAACTCTACTAATCTGCCGATTAACCAGCTTGTCTATGGGGGAGCAGACGGGACCCCGAATTCTCTGTTATCTATGGTCGTATGTGCTCGATGGTCATCCATTTCCATATATAACCTGTTTGCAGTACAAGGCAAGCATTTTAGTAAGAGACAATCCGTCAATTTAAGCTTGATCTTCAAGACCAGATGGTAAACGACGAGGCTGTTTCTGAGATGTCCCACGCTGCTGTTTGGTGGTATCGATGTCGGAGACGGCACAATGCCGCGGCCACGCTGATGCACGGCGGTCCTCGGTTGTACGCCTTGTTTCCCGAGAAGACGTCAGGTACCTGCTATATGAGTACTAATAGTACCTCAACTTTTTAAACTTCGTTCCACTCCTGCTTTTGCGGGCTCTGAAGCTACAGTCGGTTCGTGCCTCAGGTCTGGCCCCAAGTCAGAGACACCAACTGGTGCTCATTGACACTACAAAGTAGAAAACTCGCATTCCAACACCGCTTGAGCCGAGTTCTAATCCCTCGTCTTTCCTAATCAGAAGAAATGAAGGGAGACCGGCTCGGTCAACTACGGACGGTTATCCCGCCGTGAGCACTGTCCCATCTTGCTCTCGACGGAACATCATCCAACCACCGCAGTCGCTCGAATTCTATTACACAGAACACTCAGTCAATTGTGTCCCATCCTCGATTGCAATATCGGAAATAGTTCTCCGCGACCATGATTTATAACCCCCGTCAGGGGCGGTGATTTCGATTACAGGACGCGCGTTGAGGTCCAATCCCGATCCATGCCCTCCAAATGCCGGGCCGGTGCACCGTGGCCCCAAAACTCCGGCCATCGTACGGAGCAAATAACGGGAAGGATTAACACTAGCAGGCTAAGTAACGAGAGGATGCTCAAATAGGCAGTATTTGGCTCTTCTCGTCCATTGCCACCGGAGCACCTTAATACAGAACCATCCCCGCGCCAGGTTTCTCCATTATTGAGCGGAATAGTGCTCTGCCTGCTACAGCAACGTCACGATGTGTACGCGGGCCAACAATACCGTAAGCTTATATGAATCACATTGGAATATATGAAAAGCCAGCAATTGAAAAACGCATCCCAGCTCCCGTCTCCATGCGCCAGTGCTAACTCCAACGGCGCGGAAAAAGGAATTAAGACTATGGATTGGGTATAGACCAGCGGCTCCAAAGATTCCAACAGAATCATCCACACACTACAATTTCTTTCCTCCCTTTTTCCATCACAAAAGCTTCCTCAAAGCCTTAAATTGCGTTAGACTATCCATCCCGCATTCGAAAAACAAGTGCCTCATTGTCCAACCAAGGCGCCAAAGCAGGCGCAGAATTAGTAGTACAGTAAAAACGCCGGCATGACAGGCCAAGCCCAGAACATGTGCCAGGCAGAAAGAATAGAACATTCGATGTGCTCAAGGCGTAGTCGAAGAAAAAAAGAAAACCAACAAGACAATGACGCCATGCTATGCAGAAAACACAACCCCAGATACTCGCCCGCTACGTGTCGCATATCGATTGGCCTCAAGGCAGGGCCGGATGTTTTGCAACTTGCTTTCAGCGGCTAAGGTGTCCGAGGACGCTTCCAATAATATTGCTTGTGCTGCTTGCGACAATTCCTCAGGCTGGGCTTACGCAGCCCATCCACGACAGCAGCCCTGCGCTGCTCGTCATTATCCTGCTCGGGTACGTAGTAGTACTCGCTCTCGAGAGCCTTTCCAGCGGCATCCTTGCCCTGGCGTGTAATGATACCAATGCACGTTGTTGACTCAAGGGCTTCGCGAAGGGCATCGGAGGTCAGGTCGACTTTCAAATCAGTAGGGAGCTGCTGCATGATGCTCGATAAGGGTGTGGATGAAAGCCGAGAGAAGGCGAGTTGGTTGACAACATGATTACCAACACTGGGATGCACAGTGGCGTTTGGTCTTTGAGGTGTCAGCTTTTGATGCTCTTCCCCCTCGCTGGCCAATTGGTCCTCGGGAGAGGGAGTCTTCTCTTTCTCGCCATCGGGAGATGGCGGGTCAGATGGCAAGCTGCTTTCGGTGTGCGTCTCGGATGCCTCGGGGTTCTCAGCAAGCTGAGGGGCATCACGCCCTAGAGGTCCCGGCGCACGGGGAGACTTGCCCATGATCGAAGCCAAACGGTTCGAGATATCAGCACCAAATGGACCAAAGGAATGAATGATGGGATCGTTTTCCTCATCGGGGTTGTGTTCTTCGTGCTCGTCATCCTCGTCATCCTCGTCATCCAACTGGCTGTGGAAGCTCGCAGTGACTTCTGTCAAGAAACTGGCATTGGGGTCCAGAGCCGTTTCGCGCTGTTGACCTGGGAGCTCTGGTTCATCCTCGTAGATCTCGATAGCGCCATCACCGTCCTGCGGCTTGGGTAGGAGATCGTGAAGGCGCGGCGAACTTGCGAGGTGGACAGGCGTGGGGCTTTCGGGAGACCGGATACGGGCCCCATGCCGGCGAAGCGGAGATGAGTCCAGCAGATGGTCACGACGCGTCTGGGATCGTGGAGGGGAATCATCCCAGCTGGAGTCAGACAAGCTGCCAGCATTATCGACGGCGGAGGACAGGCGCGGCCATTGAACCAGTACACGTGTCTCCTGCACATCAATCATGATCTCGGCTTCCGTCTCACTTGTAAAGGTATCACCCTTGGACAATTCCCAGCTACGGCCCTGACAATGCAACTTCAGCCCATTCCAGCCCTCGCAGATGACCTCTACCTTGTTTGTTTCTTGGGGCTGGGTCGCAGCAATGTAGCGGGCCTTGACATGGATGCGTGATATCAGGCGGCTGGCGGAAAGCTGGTAGTGGGACGAGTTAGAGGAACGGCCCATGAGCAGCATCTCCCCAGACTCGGCGAGCTCTACCGACGGAACAGTGCCAAGAGGAGCGCGTTTCTCCATCATGGCGGCACGAGCCTCACCAATGGCTGCCGAGGTGCGTCGCAGGGGGGAGCTAGAGAGGATCCCGGTGCTTGAAGTAGGGATGGGTGTAGGATAACGCAAATTAGCATCCATGTTCGTGTTTTGTCGTTTAGAAAGCCGAGGGAGGCCGGGAGAAGAAGAAAGAGGTTCAAAGGGCGGCAGCAGAGAGGGAGCTGGCCGTTTGGTACCAGCCAGCGAGTTAGACGGCGTAGGAAGCTGTGGCTCGTTCACCGACGAGCCCGCCGGTCTCGAGGAATCAAACGGCATAGTGCGTGATGTATTGGTCAATTTACTCTTCAACTACCATGCCAAGGTGGTTTTTGAGGTCGTAGTCGCGTCGTATTGTCGTGACGGAGCGTCCGAACGAGGTGTAAATCGCGAGGGACGACAACGGCAGGCTTACACCAGGAGAAGCGATGCAGAGTTGTATGCCAGAGAAAGGTCGAGCAAGTAGAGGCCCAATTCTGTAAATAGAAACAAGAGACGTCAACGGGCCGGCCAAGGTGGTCGCAGGTCGATTTGGGCGTCTTAGAGGGAAAGGTAGTGGTGTGGTTAAAGAGGGCCGGGCAAGCAGGTTTTAAGAGGGGGACGACACGAACGCGATGGTAGGCGCATCGCGCGTTTTGGCGTGTCGGGCCTTCCGTTACCGGTTGTGCAACAGAAGTTCGTGCAGCGGTACCTACGGCACCTATCGGAGCCCTCTTTTAGTGGCTAGAACCACTAAGAGGACACGGCGCTTACAGGCTCAAACTGCAGTCACAGCACGTTACAGCGGCCTGTGGTGCTACAGCGCCCAGTCGAGACCCTCTATCCGTAGCGTCTTGGAATTGTGCAAGCAGCCCCACTAACAATTCCAATCGACTACACCAGTTATTACGTCGTTTGAGAGTAGCTACACAGGTAGGTACCTAGGCCTCTACTGCGCGAGAACTCACAACATGGCTTTTTATTTCTTCTTCCATTTCTATTTCTGAATGATAGATATATCCCTCTCTCCCTCACCGCGTCTCCCATTACATCCTTCAATTTTTCTCACATGCTGTGCTGCCCCGTATGCATCCCACTCCAGCCACCTCGCCCAGTGCAAAAACACGTCTCCACTGACCAGGGACCGCGTCTGCACCAAACCCTTTGCAACAGTCCAGCGACCCGTCTATGACTTGTTCATTTTCTGTAAAATAGTTCTGAGACGTGATGGATTGCTCGACAATGATGCAAAGCCTTGCACAAAAGAGAAAATTGGCTGGCAGTTCTGTGTTCTAGCTACTTCCAACAGTAAGCACACGGCAGCCTACCTTGGCCCTCCGCGCTTCCCTATCCATCCAGATTTCTACAAATAGAATGTCTAAAGCTGACGCCTAACTGCTGTCAGTACGTACCGGGGGTCATGGGCACCGAAAAAAATAATCTTCCCCACTGCAGGTCATTAGAAAATGTTTGTCTTACGACCGTCATCTATGCACTTTACCAACCGCCTTCTGTGGCACGCGACGCATCGCCGGATCTTGCTACATCCAAATATATAGCTTTGTCCCCCGTCTTGTACCTCCCAATTGCCTCAAAGATGCATCGTACCCCCTGATCGCCTGAATCATTTTATAACACACGCCTCAGACTGCTCCGACATCTCTCCAGCTTCACGTCGCGAGATCGCGTTTGTCCCACATCTCACAAGTCACACATACTAACTCAGCGCTCAGTTATTGGATGCGAAGGCGTCAATTAATCAGCGTTTCTCAACTGCAGGTAGACGAGTTTGCTTCTTCCGTGTCAATTGTGCTGTCTTAAGCACTTCTTTTCGTATAAGCAACACACAACACAACCCTGAACTTACGTAGCTGAGCCACAGCAGTGTGGCATGACGTTGAAGCTACTGGGTCAGTTCTGTGGCTGGAAAGCTAGGAGAGACTCCGCTCGCCATCCAGCACACAACAATGGAATCAGCAAATCTAAGTTCAAATCTTCGGTAGTAAAACAAAAACCATTTCAAGAAGTAACAGGAAATATCCAATCTACACCCGCCCTCCGCCTCCATAATCTACAGTTCGCATGGCATCGATATCGATAATAAAGTGGGTGCATCGGGGGTCCTTGAAGAACGGAGCCCGGCGCTTGCATATTCCGTCCCAGATTTTGGCCAACCAGAAATGTAGCTCTTTCCTGGTTGGGCAAGCCAGAACTTTTTCTGCCGCTTTTCAACCAATCCGTTCTTCACCGCCAAAAAATTACTGAGCCTCAGAAAAAAAAGTCCCATATCACCACCTTGGTACCCGATTGTATAGACGACAACTACCGTACAATACAGCTCACCATGGCCCCCTCAAAAGAAGTAGCCGTTGTCGGCTCTAATGAGATTGTCTCTATAAGCCATGACCAGGTAATTTGCTCAACTCTTTAACGCTGGTGTCATGTTGATCGGGCAACTGCTCACGCTGCCACACAGACTATGAAGGCCTCTAAGGCTCTCCTTAGCCACATCAAAAAGGCTGCCAAAGAATCTGCGGAGGACCCCGCGGCCAAGAAAAATCTGCTCGCCGACGACGATGCAGACGAGACGGCCGATACACCCGTCTGGCTGAACCTGACGACCAAGCGCCACATCACCGACAAGCCCAGGCTGCAACCCGGCAAGATTGCGCTGCCGCACAGCCTCCATGCCGGCGACGAGACTCTGTCGGTGTGCCTCATTACCGCCGACCCGCAGCGCGCGTACAAGGACATTGTGGCCGGCGAGGAGTTCCCCGAGGACCTGCGCAAGCGCATCGGCCGCGTCATTGGCGTGACCAAGCTCAAGGCCAAGTACTCGCAGTACGAGGCCCAGCGCAAGCTGTATTCCGAGCACGATATTTTCCTGGGCGACGAACGCATCATAAACCGCCTCCCCAAGATCCTCGGCAAGACTTTCTACAAGACCACCACCAAGCGCCCCATCCCCGTCGACCTGCAGGCCAAGGTGCCCAAGGTAAACGGCAAGCGGGCGAAGCCGGCCAAGAAGACGGACGGCGAGCGCGCAGTCAACGCCGGCACCCCCGCGCAGATCGCCAAGGAGGTGTCCAAGGCCATCGACTCCGCGCTCGTCAGCCTGGTGCCCGGGACGAACACGGCGATACGCATCGGCTACGCCAGCTGGACCGCGGACCAGATCGCCGACAACGTCGAGGCCGTGGCCGCCGCCCTCGTGGAGAAGTGGGTGCCGCAGAAGTGGCGCAACGTCAGGAGCATCCACATCAAGGGCCCCCAGACGGTCGCCCTGCCCATCTGGGTGACGGACGAGCTGTGGGTCGACGACAAGGACGTCGTCGCCGACACCGAGGAGACAAAGGCCAACATCAGCAAGAAGCGCAAGGCGCTCGCTGGTGAGGAGCCCCAGGCCGCCTCGCCCGCCGCCAAGAAGACCAAGAAGGTCGATTCCGCTGGCAAGCACAAGCCGACGAGCGACGACGCGAAGCTCGACACGCAGATTGCGGAGCGAAAGGCGAAGCTGCGCAGCGCCAAGGCCCGAGTGAGCAAGGCAACGGAGTAAGGGGTGCGAAGGAGTGGGAAAAGGTCGAAAGAATCTGATATTTGCATGAATATAAAAGGGGTCAAGATGAGGGATGTAGCGGCGGTCATGTACACATGTCACGACTTTTTATCTGGGTTGTCTTGTCGTCGAATCCATGTCACTCGGCGTTTGGTGGCGTTTTGCATTCGTTAGGTGGTATTTGCAGGGAATAAAAGCATACTTATCCGCTCGCGATCTTTCGGTGGGAGGTGTGGTCGAATTTCGCAGTGATGATGCAGTGAATGGTGAGAGAAATCAATAGAGATTAATATGCTTGCTTACTCCTAACGCCTATACGCTATTTCCTTGGATCAGACTCTTGGCACAGGATCTTGCAATCTCGTCTTTAGTGCCCGAAATTAACCCTCCAAACAATGCATAACGATGTCTCCAAGACAGGCCGCAGAATTTCAACATGCTTGCTTACTACAGCTCCAGGTTGAAGGGGCCATCGCCGTAGACCTTGGGCTGCTCGTGGCGGTGCGAGGGGAACGCGCGCTTCCCCGGCCCAAAGAAGTCGCGGAACGTCTCGTTGAGCACCTGCTCCGGGATCTGCATGTGGTCCGCCGTGATGGAGCGGAAGACGAGCCCACCCTTCTCGTCGAGCTCGCGGAGGCCGAGCCAGTCCTCCTTGTAGATCGGTCGCCCGCGCAGCGGCACGCTCTTCCCCTCCGGCGTCACCTCGCCGAACCACGACGACTCGCGCGGGTGCACCATCGTGTCGTCTTCGAAGAGGAACATGACAAACTTGGTCAGCCCCGCCAGCCTCTCCTTGTAGGTCGCGTTTTTGCGCGGGCGCTCGTTGTTGACGTCGGCGAGGAAGCGCGAGCCCTCGAGGTACGCGTCCAGGTCGGCCGGGTCGCGGAAGTACTGCGCGGGGACGAGGCGGCCCTGGACGAAGCTGCTCCACGTGTTGAAGCGCAGCAGGGCCATCGCGCCCTTGCACAGGAAGTCAGACGTGCCACACTCGCGGAACTCGGCGATGCCGCTGTGCTGGCTGCCAAAGGTGACGAGGCTGCGGACGGGCGGGTTGTTGCAGCGCTCGACGTAGGCGCGCAGGAACTGGCCGCCCTGGGAGAAGCCGAGGGCGTCGACGGCGGGCGCGGTGGAGAGGATCGGGTGGGAGGCGAGCTGCTCGCAAACAGCGTCGACCTGCGCGGAGACGTTGCCGAAGAAGGTGGCGGAGCGGTCGGCGGAGGCGTCGTCGCCGGCGAGGGAGACGGCGTGGACAAAGGTGCCCGGGTGGATGGCGTCGGCGAGGGCGGCGACGGCCTGGATGCCCTCGCCGGAGAAGGTGTCGCCGAGGCCGTGCCAGATGACGACGGGTAGGGGCGTGTCGTCGGAGGCGGCGGTGGTGTGGGAGGAGGCGGCAGCGAAGCCGGAGATGGCGAAGACAGCGGCGGCGAGGGGTCGCACCATGGTGAGAGTCGTCGGGTCGGCGTGTTCTGTTGTAGGCGAATAGCTTGGTTTGTATGAGAATAGGGGCGCACTAGGTAAGTGATGGGATTGAAATGGGTCGCGAGGAATTAATATTGGTAAGGAAGTTGGTATAATAACATGGAGTGGCGAGGTAAGCTACCTTGATATTTAGAGGTACATAGTTGTAAAGAGCAGCGGCTGGATGCATTATTTAGCAGGTCGATGAGGGTCCAGCCTCTGGGCGATAAGCTGCCTTGCCCCATGTGTCCCGCGGCCTATTTGCCCTGGCCTCTTCCCGCTACCTGCGGCGTCCTCCGTACAGGCTAAATTACAGCACTGTCAGTGCATTCCATTTCAACAAGCGAGCACTTTGACAGAGATCGTCGCTGTCTCGGCTACTAGACTCAAACATACAGGGGCTTCTTAGATACAACTTGGCGAGCAAACAAGAAATCAAGGGTCTCGTTATAGCTATTCGTAGACAACGGGCTCACGCTAAATCTGTACTGTCCATCTATTTATGGTGGGCAGTTAATGCACGTTTTAGGGCTTCAGCTTTTGGAAACAACAAAGGCTCTTGCGCAGGATCATCGTTGCCAAAGTGACCAAAACTTGCCTGGGCAGGATAAGACGGCATCAATTGCATGCATGATCGGTGTCGGGCTCCTAGCGAGTCCCAGTTACACAGCCGATAACCCTTCCCCTACAGATACCGACAGGTTTGCCCTTGCCATCATCAAGCTGCCTCGGTGACCGCCAAGCCGCCAAGCAGTTATCGATGCGGTCTTCATACGCCTGCCAAGCTCGATGGCTCGATTGCTTCCACTCGCGCTGCGATTCTCCTCACAATGAATGACGCGTCCACTGTAGATCATGGGCAGCTGTTGAATTGGTCGCTCACCGGCATCAGGTGGCTTTTCTGCAATGAAACGAGTAATGCCGCAAAATCGAAACACGTGAGCGTATTCAGAACGCGACTAGTTAGCTTCTGTGAAATCAACTTTGCAGTAGCAGCAGCAGCACGCACTCGACAGAAGAGAATATTGGTTCATGCCAAGACAGCCAAGAAGGAGGCCGCCAACGAGCGCAAACACGACGCTCAACCACGAATTGTAAATTGCCATTATCAATTCGTAAGCCAGGTTGATCGGAGAAGTAATAGTGACCGCCCATGTTATGCATCTCTATCAACTTTGCTCGCCTTGCCTAACTGTTAAACTATGTTTTATCTATTAGAGGATTGTGTCAAGTGACATAACCTGAGCAACACAGCAAGGGGCTCGAACACTTTTAACAACGAAATAAGTACTCAATGATTAGTTTAAATTGAGAGGTGACATCACACACAAGCTCTAGGCGAGACTGCTCCTCTAATCCACAAACACTGAGGCTGGTATCAAGTCGTGTACGAGAGCGCTATAGGGTAGCCGACATGCGAGCGCAATTTTCGCGTTGGCCCTCTACGAGTCTATCCTAGATCTGAGTATTTCGGATGGTCTATGTTGTGCTTATCCATAGCTACAGATTATCAAAAACTCACTCCGATATTCAGGTCCCTCGTGAGTCGTGTGAGGGCACCAGCCGATCCGTGATACATCTCCGAGAGCCTAATCTGATAACGGAGCTCAGACCTGTGGTGGGCTCGCATACTTAAACAACTTTTCCCAAGCCATACGTACTAGGTAACTGATGACCATATCGTTCAATTCGAATGCAACATATCCCTTCTCGCGCAGCTTGCCACAGACTTTCGCGTATAAAAGCAGCCGTCGCGCAACTCGCCTCATCTAGGACACCCACCATCGACACTCGCCGCAGAAATCTTACCCCTTCTTGCCTGCGACATCCAAACTCTTCGAATCAGCCTTTCAAGATGCATTTCCTCGGAGCCGTTCTCGCCACTCTCATCACTCACCCACCCACGCAGCGGTAAGCGAGGCAAGTAGGAAGGGCAAGGGGTTCAATGGGCCCGGAGGCCATGTTAGGAAAACAGAAGCAAAAAAAAAGGAATGAATTGTTTATATACTCTTCACCTATATGTAATAGCCGGGAGGTATCTTTCTAGTTTACTTAAGCCAGATTACATCCATAACCACGCAATTGCAGCATTGGAAAAAACGTTTGTCCGTCATTGTTGCCCCTGCAAGCAGTTCGGTTTTACCACGTGATTCATCGCCAAGTGAGTCCACATAAGTTCCGTTCATTGCTACCAAGTTCTACACTTCTTCACCCCATCAAATTTTGTTGCACACAATTTATGATGGTGTTTGCACACCGTTGCATCAATTGTTCGCGGAATTGAGCAATGATTTGAAGCTGTTACTGCTGGCCGCAGGCTGATTGAACCGATGCGGAGCTTCAAGTACCTGCTCCTTGTTTGAAGGTAAGGAGGAACCAATATTCTTGCAATTGCCCCCCGAATGCACCTGATGATATTTTGTCAACCCAAAATATGTTTCAAGACGGGAATGAGTAACCACCGTGATTCTAACGCATAATCTGACGCACCACCTGTACCTTTTCGCTTCTTCAAATGCATTCTATGGGAGATCGCTGACAGAAAGTTCTAGATTCGACCACGACCACATGGCAGGCCCCGAGCGATGGAAGTGCCGATTGGATCGACGTATATATTCTCAGCCATATCATACACCAACACGTAGCTAGCCTTTGGAGGCCTGGGGCTTCGGCGACTTCTGCACTGACATGTTCATCAGAAAGGGCTGCGGTTACGGTTCGAACACGATTTGTGGAGCGCTAGATTGCCAACCATAAGTTGACAGTGGGCGAGGGCTGTGGCCATTTCGCTTGCACTTACGGATGAATCGGCATGCTTGGGAACAGAGACTGACATTGTGGACGCGCTGAGCAACGCGCTGCCCGCTGCTGTCATTTTTCCACCCGCCTACTATGTTGGCATCGTACGACCATCGTGCGGGTAAGGCATGCCACGATTTTGAATGGTTGATTTTGCAAGCCATTGTGGTATGCGCCGTTATGCACAGGGCAGCAGCAGTCCTGCTTCGCGTTGGGCGGGGAACAACGTAGAGCGAGTGGCAACGTCTGTCCACATTTTGATCGAATGGACCAATTAGCGAAAGCACAGACACTTGCGCACCGGTTGATGTGCCGCGGCGTTTGAGATGATCAACAAGTTGGGCATGGGGTGCTCTAACTAAGGAGGCGCCGCCACAGGACCATTGGAGGTGGACAAGGCCTCGGCCGCGGCACCAAGGCTGAAATTCACAAGCCAGTTGACCAACTTTGGACGGAGGACGGGCAAGAAACCATCTGACCAACGACCGTCTTGCTCTATCCGCAGTTGGTGATGGGAGCAAGACCTAAATCAATGTTCGTGAGCTTCGCGGTGTTGTAAACATGTTGATAACGGGGTGGTAACGGGGTGGGCACATCGCTAGATCTGGATCAAACTGTAATATCTCTTCGCTACAGTGGCCGGGCCCTCTGAGTTCCCCGGCTATACCCCACATTCTCGGCAACTTGGTGGCCGCATGGCGTAGTAGAATCATTTTTCTTGCTTGCAGATTCTGGCGGGTCGGGGCTCTGGATACAGCACGTGTTTGATCTTTGATCCGACTTGGCAGCATTGCGATAGGGCATCACTCATTATTCGTTGAAGAATGAAAGCGAGTTGATGGTAGAAAAATAAAGTACGTGGGTAAGGTGCGAATTAAGCGACCCATCAAATGGCTGGGGTAATCAATTCTTGGTACATAGCCTCAGCGTGCAGGAGACGGAAGGACCGAGCGAGCCCACAGCCCGGAACAGTTACTGGCAGCTTAGGCGGGCCTTCTGGCCTCCAAACTTGCCTCCGCCGCTCCGTCGGCGGTGCACTGCGCCGTTGGCCACTGGTCCAGCGAGGGAGGGGCCTGGACAGGGAAGACAAACAGACAAGCTCAGCCAAAGCACATGCTTGTCCATCAACTGTCTCAACACCAATTGCTATTTTCTCCTGAGCCATTTCTCACAACACTCAGGCCGCCTTCATCTTCGTCATTCTGGCCCTGACTGTCTCCCTCCCCTTGGCGACCGGAATCAGGGCTCGCTCGAATCACTCACGCCGACGCCCAGCCAGAGACGCCCGACTGGTGGGCTTGTTTCTGTCCCCCGACTCGACCCCCCCTCCCATGCGATCGCATCTGCCACCAATCTCCTCTCTCACGCTTCCCGATTTCCCATCTCCCACCAGATCTGGCTTGCATGTAGCCGGTACCCTACCACTCCAGCCTTGAATCGCCTACACGGCCAGCCGCCCCTGAGTCTGCCTTGGCCACAATGCCTCCCGACACCCATCAGAGACGCCGTGCGAGGCAGGCCTGCACGCACTGCAATGCCCGCCGTGTCAAGTGCAACGTCACCGAGAAGGTTCCTTGCGACAACTGCGTCGCCGCCGGCACCGAGTGTCAGCTGAGGGTGTCGCGCCGCGGCAAGCACCCTCGATATCGTCCCGGCCAGGAGCCCAAGCAGACATCCGCATCGCAATCGCAATCCAAGTCACCGTCCCGAACAGCCGTCAAGTCCTCGACTCAAATCCAACCACCACCACCACCATCACCACCAGCGACAGCACCCGCGCATCCGTCTTTGCCGCACCAACCCGCTCAACCTATACCCGCTGTCGTCCCGCCGCGGTCAGACAACTTTGCGTTCACCGGCACCAGCGCCTCCCCATCTGACGAACCTCCCAGCCTCTCCAAGAGCGAGTACACGTCCCCCAACGACGAAGAAATGTCTCAGGCGTCCTTGGCTCTAGCGTCGCTTTCCCGCGGTATACAGCGCGATGTCAAGCCCGACATCAAGCTCCAGGGCAGACAAGAATTTGGCGCGTCCATCTTTTGGGGCGAGTCGTCGTCCATTCGCTACGTTGGCACCGACAACTTGGCATCGGCCGTCGCAAAGCTTGATTCGATTCCCTACGAGGCTGGAGGAGGCAAAGACCGCCCTGACTACCCAGATCCCCGTCTGGAGAACCTCATCAATAAGCCGGGCGGTCCGTTCACTCTTCCCCCCCGCCATGCCACTGCATCTCTTCTCAGGGCATACTTCCAATGGTTTCACCCATTTTGCCCCATTGTCGACGAGCAGGATATATGGCATCAGTTCGAGACTGGCTCGCTCTCTACGCTGCTACTGCAATCTCTTCTACTGGTTGCTGCATCCCATTGCGATGATTCTGTCATCACCGACGTTGCCTTTGGCAATAGAAGTCAAGCCAAGCTCGCATTTTATACCCGCGCCGCGGAACTGTACGACGCAAATACCGAGACCCAAAGCCTTGTCATTATCCAGAGCGTCATTCTCCTCAGCTTCTGGCGCGGCCGCGCCGCCGAGGAAAAGGACACCAGGCACTGGCTCGGCATCGCCATCAGCATTGCACAGCGCAGAGGTCTGCATCGCTCACGAAATCAGGGAAAGATTGCACCAGATGCTTGTGTACCTGACCGACAAAAGAAGCTTGCAAGAAGGCTTTGGTGGTCCGTCTACATGCATGAGAAGCAGTCAAGTGCTACCCTGGGCCTGCCACAGAGAGTGCGAGACGAGGACTGCGATGGCGAGAGTTTAGAGGCTGCCGATTTTGAGCATGCGTTCTCCTCAAGCCGGCCGCAGGAAGAGAAAGCTGACGCCATCGACTACACCATGCGTATAACGCAGCTTAGCACGTTTCTAGGCAAAGTCCTCGAAGTCGGATATTCGCCCAAGAGAACCTCCACGGAACCCGAGCGCACTGCGATCCGGAATGAGCTAGTCGAGTGGAAGCAAACACTCCCGGCTTCGTTGCGCATCGACGAGGATATTGGGTCACAACCTAGCCTTCACGCCGCCATGATACACCTGGCCTACAATAACGTTGTTGTCCTTCTTTATCGGAACTGTTTCACCGATTTGACTTTTGATAAAGAAGGCCAGTATGCCTTGCAAGCGGGCGCTCGCAATGCACGCATCGTGGAGGACATGCTCCCGCGCGGCATCCTCCGACACGCGCAAATTCACGTCATCACCAACATCTCCAACACGCTCGTCCTCAACATCATGGAGCTGCGCTTCGCTAAGGGCATGTCCCGGACCAGCGCCGATCACCGCTCCAAGATTTGCCTGCTGGGCCTGGCGGAGCTGCAGTCGACGTGGGAGTTTCGCAACTGGCTCCTGCAGCTCTTCATCCGGCGCGTCGACGTGCCGGGCGGCGACCGCCGGCGCATCGAGGAAACCGAGGCCCAGCAGCTGGCCATCAAGACCGAGACGCCGCTGCAGGCCTCGTACGGCGCGGCCATGTCGCGTGAGAACTCGGGCGGCGGCGGCCTGATTGGCAACCTCGCGGAGCTGGATTGCTTCGCGTTTAATCTGAGCAATGAGATAATGGACCCGATGACGTGGCCGGTGGATGAGAAGGAAAGATTCTTGTTTTCGCAAATATACAACTCGAATCCGTTTTGGTAGAGGCTTTCTTTGACCTCGACGGCGTGAATTTTTGGCTGGGACTGATATTAACATAGCGGGAAGGCAGGCGTTTGCGTTTGGCTGGTGAACTTTTGACGAGCGAATGGAATTATGTGAATGGATTTCTTACTCTCTGACCTGCACAGTACTGCCGAGGCAGGTTTATCTTTAGCTTCTGGTAGCCATTTACAACGAATCGGATTTACTCGGTCTACATCAGATGCTCGATATGACACTTTCACCTGTTCTCCCGTAGAGCGAGGTTAGGTTTTACAGATGAATCAGGAACGGCAAAAACGTATGGGCAGAAACCCGTTTGATGCACTCTAAGAAGTGACCGACAGCTATATTCTGGAATCGCGGGAGAGGAGCCATGTTGGTCGTTTCATGCTGAGCGGCTCCAAGCATACTGACGGTATTTGTCAGCTTGTCGGCATGCATACCCTCGCGAGCGCACCAGAACTAGCAGCCTTTCTAACAGGGGCTATTACGAACAGAGACAATATGAAAATTTTTGCACCATGCATAACATGTTTCATCCAAATACGTACTTCTTGCTAATAAAGAGACCTAGTTGTTGCCCAACTGTATCTGGTACAACAGTGAAGTTGTAGGTGGGCCGAGTCCGACAGGCCAAGAAAAAAACTCGAACCCACATCTGAGATGCGCGGCAGAAAAGCAAGACTGGTTCAACAACAAGCTTCAAAGAGTTATGAATAATAAAAACAAAAGAAGAGCAAAAAAGAAACATCTTAGGTCACGGTGGGGATCGAACCCACCAATCTTCTGGTTCGTAGCCAGACGCCTTGCCATTTGGCCACGCGACCGAATCCATTTGATGGAGGCCAAGACGAGATAAAGATTGTTAAGAAGCGGGACGGGCACAGACGGGGATGTGAAAGAAAAAAATTTCAGCATGGGCGGGCGGGTCGGGCTGTTGGGGATGGATGACGCTGCGGGTGGACTGGGACGGGAACGGGAGGCTGGAGGTGAACATGGGGAGCCGGCGTGTCCGAGGCTGACAAGGGTCTGTCGGGGAGTCGGATAAGAAAGAAGTCCAGAGGATAAAACGTCGCAGGAATATGGTGGCGTGCAAAAAGAGATGATCGCGGTGTAAGCAGAGACATGCATACAAGAACCCGACTTGACGTAAAGTAACGCTAGCTGGATGACCACAATTGGGCAATGCAGCGGGTGTAAGTGAACTGCTATGTACATGTAACAGCGAGCAGAGCCGCGGTTTACCGAGATCAAGCCAAGATAACAAGCATTAATATGGGTAGTACTGGGCGATTTCATCTGTATGCAAGTCTGAAATTTGCAGTCGTTTACCCAAGAACATCTGTTCGTGTTAGTTCTCTCCTCCAGTAGCCATCTCTTCGGCCGCGAAGCCCGTCGTCTCCAGCTTCTCGTCGATCGTCTTGGCCGCTGCATCGACCTGTCAGCATACTATTTCCAATCTTGCGGCAAGTATCCCGAAAGCTTCACCTACCGATGAGCACAAACGTCACGCGGCACGTCTCGTCTGTCCTGTTCTCCCAGCTGTGGATGGTACCGCGCTGGACGCAGACGTCGCCTGCGCGGAACGTCTTTTCAACGCCATCGTCGAGACGGCTTGTGACATAGTCAGCCAGCCCGTCGCAAAATTCATCCACCAGCGATGCGAGGCTTCGTTCATACTCACCAGACAATCTCCCCTTTGGTGATGATGCCAAAGTCGAGCGACTCGGTGCGGTGAAACAACTACACGTCATTTGGCCGATGGCGGCGAACCGATTAGCACTCCAAGCCCCGATGGCCGCCCCCTCCGTATTGGCAATCAATTCATCGGAAAACATACAGCCCTGTTGTTTGGCTTGAAGTCGACCACGCGCAGCACCACGCCGTCCTTGTTCGCCAGACTCTCGGTGCGCCGCTTGACAGGGTCCTTCCACTCGCCGTTATCGGCGGGGAACTCGTGCGTCTCGTACAGCACGGCAAAGTTGACGGTGTCGCTGATCTGGACGGCGGGCACCTCACCGTCCTCGACGAAGACGGCCTTGTTGGCGTCGTCGTGGCCGGTGACAACTCGGCGGGGGTGGGGGAGTTCTGCGACCATGGTGATTTCTGATGATAAGGAGTGAAGAAGAAGAAGAAGAAGAAGAAGAAGAAGAAGAAGAAGAAGAAGAAGAAAAAAGGAAGATGGAGTTTTGCTCAATTAATGCTGAAATCTCTAGAACAAAGGACTATGTATGCTCTTACCCCTCACGGTACGATGCGATCTAGCACTATCACGTGAAGCTCGCGTTCGCGGTATCCTGCTTACTGCCGGGTTGATGGTGAGCTGAATGGCTGAATATCATTCACGCTGTGACATTGAAGCTTGGTCCATGTCAGCAGCGCACGTTCGGCCCGCTGAATCGAGCCCATCTGTGCGCTAACTAGATACCACCAGGAGCCAGACGATCAAGCAGAGCTTGGTCCAGGGTCGTTATCCGGAATGGTGTAGTTAGAAACAGCCGACAAAGCGATCATAATGATAGAATCCTGCAAACGGCTGCAAGGCAGTCGACCGTTGTAGTAGATGTATGGTGGTGTTGAGCAGACCCCTGCAACAGAGCAATCCTTATTACGGTAGCAGCTCCAGCTTCATGGCGCAGCGTCGCTTGCGGGGTAAGCCGTCGCGGTCCTCGTCATTGAGAATGCTGACCAGCTGCTGGGAAAGATCCTCTGGCTCGAGTATTGTGAAGCCACGCGCCTTGTAGAAGGCGTCGTTCCACGGTATGTCAATGAACGTCGTCAGCGTCAGGCCCTTGAGGTTGCGCCGCGTGGCGTGGCCGACCGCCGCCTGCACGAGCCGCTTCCCGATTCCCCGGCCCTGGTGTTCGCGGTCCACTGACATTTCCCAGATGTGCAGGTAGCCGTCGAGTAGCTGGCCATTGAGGAAGCCGACAACCACGCCGGGCTCGCCCACCGCGGCCACCCAGGATACGCCGCTCTGCATCAGCTCCAGGTGCCGCTGCACGGTCTGGGGCGTGTCGTCCGCGATCCAGGCCAGCTCGGGGATGCTGCGGAAGGCCTGTCCGGCGGAGCGCTCTACGGCGGGGAGCTTGGCGGCATCCGCGGCCGTCGTCTCCCGGATGACAAAGGCGTTGTCCTTGTTGCTCGCAGCCATGTGTTGGCTGGGTGGTTCGGTGGCTTTTTTTTCCTCGCTGCAGATCAGGCGTTGCGACGCCGATGGTGAGTGCCCGGAAAGTGAGGGTTGCAAAAAGGGAAATACGCACGGTTGTCGCTTGGCGGAAAACGGGCCGATGGCTGCAACGTAAATTGAGGGCTTTTTGGGAGACAAGAACTTCGAGACAGGGCCTGGCCCATGTTCACTGCCAGCGAGTATGAGCCATATTGAGAGCTGAATATGCCGAGCCTCTTTTTCGCGCGGCTGGGGACGTCCATCCTGCTCATTGTTGGAGGAGTGGATAAATTAGTGTGCTGGGTGTTGGTGCTCTGGGGGATCGGGCCGGTTCGCCTGCGGAGAGAAGAGAAGGTGGTTCTCGTTTGCATTGTTCATTGTTCTGCCCACTTCCGACCTACACAATACACCGCAAAACACTTTACACCAATAGCAATTGGCGAGTTTCTTCATCAATGTACGACACCAAATCATTAAGTTTCCACCTTCGCCCATCCGTCATCATCTCGACAAATGTTTAACAGAAGCGGAAACCCACCGATACCCTTTGCGTCGCAGTGGTGGCGCGCCAAGTACCTTGGTTGTGGCTGCTTCCCCCCCGGAAAACCTTCCGTCCCATAATGACTTAGCTGACAGATTCGCGGTTTAGCCCAAGGCTTAAATAGCGTTTGACGTCAATGCCGCAAGGGCCCAGCAGCAGACGAGGTCGTTGTTCACGTTCTAGCCTTGACCAGCGCCCAGCCCAGCGCCACAGCCATGGCCCGTGAAGGTGGCGCTCCCTCCGCAACGAGCACGGCGCTATTACGGCCCCAACAACAGGAAATCGGCGGGGCTTGAAGAAAGAAACAGAGAAGCAGTGGAGAGTTGACGGGGATTGCAAGTTTCTTGCTATCCACGAGACACGAGTCCATCATGACCTGCAAGCTGCAGCTTTCTGCATGACTCCAGCGTCTTGACGCTAAAAGCGGTGCCTCGTTTCCGGTGTCTCACAGCTCGCCCTGTCTAGATTTCATCACAGCTCGGCCTCAGACACGCGACGGCAATACCAGCCATCGTTGTTGATGTGCCAGCCCTTTTCTCCTCCATCACCGCACTGCCCTCCACATTCGGTACAGAGGCTTCGCGAGTAATGCAACGGCCAAGGCATCCACCCATCAACCCCCCAACGCAAGTTTGGCCGAGAAAGTATCCCAGCAGAGCCACCAAATCAGAAAGAGTGGCGCACTTTGCTGGGGCGCCAGCAGAGAACCCCAGCTTGTTGTGTGGGGAACTAGAATCATCCCCAGACTTGCTGATTGTAGTTTGGCAGGCTTACAGCCAGCCGAAAGTACTTGTCTTGCTCTGTGAGCATCTACGCCTGCTCCATCCGTTTTGATGTGGCGGCAATTTGGAGTACCTGCGGGGCGTCATTAGATTTTCGCCGTGCTGCCCGAGCTTGAAACCTGGTTAGCCTGGTCGCCAACGATTTGTGTTCTTCTACATATATTAGTACTGCTCCGTCCCTGGCAGTCGAAAGCGAGGCAAGTTTGTGCGACCTAGTATTCTTCTTTTCCAGGCACAATCCGCATCAATGGCGTCGTTCAAGCACCTTGCGACAGCTCTGGCAGCTTCGCTACCTGTCGCGACAGCTCTATACCAAAATGGTTCCACCATCGCTCCTTGCGACTCCCCAATTTACTGCCACGGAGATATTCTCAAGGAGATTGAGCTAGCCAGCCCATTTACAGACTCCAAGACATTTGTTGACATGTAAGTCGGTACGCCAGGTGCTGCTGCGGGCTCGGCGACAGCTCCTGAGTATAGGTCTATTGGCTCGGCTAGCTAACAGGTGATTTAGGCCGGCGAAAAAGCCACTGTCCGAGATCCAGGCTGCATTCGACAAGCTTGAGAAGCCGCTCTCCAATAACACCGCGCTCAATGATTTCCTGAACACTTATTTCGATGACGCCGGCGGCGAACTCAAGGCCGTCTCCAAGGACAAACTCAGCACGGATGCCCAGTTCGTCAACAAACTCAACGACACAGTTATCAAGGAGTTCGTCAACAAGGTTATTGACATTTGGCCCGACCTGACGCGCGAGTATGCCGGCTCAGCCACCAACTGCACCAATTGCCCCAACAGTTTCATTCCCATCAACAGAACCTTTGTTGTTGCAGGTGGCCGCTTCCGCGAGCCCTATTACTGGGACTCGTACTGGATCGTTGAAGGCCTCCTTCGCACGGGCGGCGCATTCATCGACATCACTAAGAACACCATTGAGAACTTTTTGGACCTTATTGAACAGTTCGGCTTCGTTCCCAACGGCGCGCGCCTCTACTACCTTAACCGCTCGCAGCCGCCACTGCTATCTCAGATGGTCAGTGTCTACATTAACCACACCAATGACACCAGCATTCTGGAGCGGGCGCTGCCGATTCTTGTCAAGGAGCACGACTTCTTCATGAGCAACCGCTCAGTTGATGTGACCGTTGATAACAAGACATATACTCTGAACCAGTAAGCCATTGCTGTCCTATGCTGTCGTCTACTCAAAGCTAATGAACCTAGGTACGCCGTGTCCAACACGCAGCCTCGACCAGAGTCGTTCCGCGAGGATTACATCACTGCAAACAACAACTCTTACTATTCTGCGTCCGGCATCATCTACCCTGTCAAAAAACCCCTCAATGAGTCCCAGCAGGCGACTCTCTACTCCAACCTTGCTTCTGGTGCCGAGTCTGGTCTTGATTACAGCACTGCCAAGTGGTCCAGCAATCCCCGCGATTCGACAGAGGACGTTTACTTCCCTCTGCGATCGCTCAACATTCTGAACATTGTCCCTGTCGACCTCAACTCGATTCTTTACGGCAATGAGAAGGCAATTGCTGGTTTCTACAACATGACAGGCAACTCCAGTGCTGCTGATAGCTGGGCGAAGAAGGCCGCTGACCGAGCCGAGGCCATCCACGCTGTCTTCTGGAACGAAACGCTGTTCAGTTACTTTGACTACAATAAGACGTCATCGAGCCAGTACATTTATATCCCCAGCGACGCAGATACCCAGTCATTTGAGAACACGACTGCGCCTGCGGGTATGCAGGAGCTCTTCACGGTGACTCAGTTCTACCCCTTCTGGATGGGAGCCGCCCCAGAGTACATCAGCAACAACCCGTACGCAATGAAGAACGCCTACTCGCGCATCTCCAAGTATCTCGATCTCAAGCCGGGCGGCATCGCGTCGTCGAACCTGCGCACGGGTCAGCAGTGGGACCAGCCCAACGTGTGGCCGCCGCACATGCACATCTTGATGAAGGGCTTGACCAACACCCCGGCCACCTTTGGCAAGGATGACCCCTCATGGCAGGATGTGCACAATATTGCTCTGCGCCTCGGCCAGCGCTACCTCGACTCGACGTTCTGCACCTGGTACGCAACCGGCGGCTCGACCTCGGCAACCCCGCAGCTTTCGGGCCTAAGCACTTCGGACGTGGGCATCATGTTTGAAAAGTACGATGACAACAGCACCAACCACGCCGGCGGCGGCGGCGAGTACGAGGTGGTGGAGGGCTTTGGCTGGACCAACGGCGTGCTGCTGTGGGTGGCTGACACCTTTGGCAACGAGCTCACGCGACCAAACTGCGGCAACATCACCGCCGCCAACGTGCACCCGGGCAAGCGCAGCCTCAGCGCCGTGCAGCTGAGCAGCCGCGATGCGCAGCGCGTCAAGAAGTTTGGCCGTCGCGCCGAGGGAAAGCTTTGAGGGAGTACGAGTGAGTGGTGATTTGCCCAACTGTAATTAGCTCTAGTTTTTGTTTATACGGTATGGACGGGTATGTAATTACAGATTAACGACATTTAAGAGATATGTACGATTTTTCAACTCAACATGTCATGAATACAGGAGCTCAGGATGATGTCACTGGGTCGGCGATGTCACTGTTACTCACTACCATTACAGGGCGTCATTTCCACACCAAGCTGAATCAAAACTCACCACTCTGGTCCACCTTTCATTAGCAGCCGACCAGTCGCGTCGCAGTCGCAAAAAATACGATGCAAACGGCCAGCTCAGCCTTGACGGTCGGGCGGCGAGAGCTTGCTAGCTCACGTTCTGGAAGCTGGCTTGTCGGGAGATGCGGCAGCTTGGCGCGCGACGAAAGCTTCACGGGGAAGGGCATATGACCGTTGATCGGGGCCGGTCGGAGCTCAACAAGGACGGAGGGGGAAATAGTATAAAAGGCTTTCTGTGCCCTGGGGTGGTGTGAGTGCGTTTCTTGTTCCAAAGACTACTCAATTACAGCACGCTTACAACCGCCATCGCTGAATCGCACCACGCCAACTTATCATTGCAATACGCATATACTGCAAACAAACATCCGCAACCGCAACAATGGTTGGATCCAAGGGCAAGGTTTCGGAGGAGCGCAGGGAGCCGGCCAACATTCCTCCTCAGCTGTCGGACCTGCACTGCTTCACCGAGACTGAAGGCGTCGTGACGGGGGCCCCCCCCCCCCCACGCCAGCGGCAAAATCGGCACCAGAAAGCCCGCCCCTTTTCGCCAGATACATTTTGACTAACCCCCATATCTCTAGCCATGATGGACCTCCCAGGGTACAAGATTGAGCAGGTGCTCGGCACCGTGTACGGCATCACGGTGCGGTCGCGCAACTTTGCCGCGACGCTGGGCATGGTGGCCAAGTCGTTCGCGGGCGGGGAGCTGAGCTGGTTCACGAGCATGCTGTACGCGTGCCGCAACGACTCCATCTCGCGGGTGGTGGACGAGTGCAAGGCGCGCGGCGGCAACGCCATCATCTGCCTGCGCTTCGACGCGGCGAGCATGGGCGGCTTCGCGCAGACGGCGGCGTACGGGACGGCTTGCAGGGTGGTCAAGGTGGACGAGGAGGTGGCCGCGCCGCCGCAGCTGCAGTGAGGGTGGTGGGCAGGGGCAGAGCTGTTGGATAGACTCGATACCAATTTGGCTTTTACGTTGCAAAAAATATCGTGTTCGCTTGGATATCAGCTTGGACGTTTCGCGTAGGTATGAATCCTGGGAGCAGACACCTGGAAAGAAACATCACTCCAAGCTTTTCCAAGTCAAATCAAGAAAAATGTAAAATTGTCGGTATTATATCCATCTGACCATGCCACGTGCAACCGGGCACGAGGCATCAATATATCCCATACATTGCGCACCTTGTTTTTTGTTTTTTGTTTTTGTCTTTTCTGTATACCCAACCATCAACAACCGGCTGAAGAAGCCTGAAACGTGGTGGTCCCAGTGTCGCGACCACACACAAGACTCGGCTATATACATCCCGCCTTTGCAAAAGACACACCAAACCCCCCCCCCCCCGCTGTCCCTTCACATAATTTACAGCAGAGCAATGGCTCCCAGGGCAGCCATCATCAGCGCGCCCAGGGCAGTCGGGCCGTTGGCCGCCGCCGCGCCCGGCTTCGCCGTCGCCGGCGCCGCATCACCGCTCGACGTCGCCGTCGCCGAAGCCCCGGAGCCGCCGGTGCCACCGGCTGTACCCGTGGCGTCGCCGCCGTCGCTCACCGACTTGCCCATTCCCGACGGGCAGAGGTTGGCGATGTTCTGGAGGGCGGCGTTGCAGTCCTTCTCGATCTTGGAGGCGATGCTGGTGTGGGCGCTGGCCCAGGACTCGGCGGCGGAGACGAAGGAGGTGTACTCGGCGGCGACGGAGCCGGTGGGCGTGTAGGCGCAGGGGTCGGAGAGCGTCTGCGCCTGGGCGAAGGCGTCGGAGATGAAGGCGGTGGGGATGGCGGGCAGGTCGCTGGCGGACTGCACCTCCTGCAGGTCGGCCTGGCACTCCTTGGAGAGCGAGCCGAGGGGGTCGGCGGCCTGGCGGAGGGTGAGGAGGTTGTTGGCGGCGGCGCCGGCGACGAGGGAGGCGAGGACGATCTTGGATTGCATGGTGGTGGTTGTCTTGGTGGTGTGGTAGAGGGGAGATGAGGCAAGTACGCGTGCGTGTGTACGTAATGTGTCTGTATGTGTGAAGTTGGTCGCTGAAAAGGAAGGGAAAAAGGAGGGAATACGAGGTCGGGGGGGGTTGACGAGGGCGGGATGTGTATTATATTTGGAAACGGGAGGGAGAGGTTGCCAGACTGGGGACTGTGTCATCCCTACAACAGTTACTAATGCACATGTCAACTAAACTAACTAGTCAACCACCAATCTCAGCGCCCAGTTTAGTCAAGCTAGAAAAACTATCCCGTAGCGGCCCATCCAAAGTCAAAAGAGTCAAGTGTGGCAAGGGACGGCAATGGCCGGGCGCCTAGGACAGGGCAGGCAGGGCTTGCTGTTACAGTGTTACATTGTCACAGTGTCACTACGTATGAATAACAGCACCGACCATGTTTCCGTTTCTCTTTTCTTGCTCGAGATCCACAAGGTTCGGAAGCTCTGCTTCAAGTTTTGCACATTTTGCCACCGGCCTTGCACGAGCCGACACGGCCAGTTCACTCTCATTCTCCTGTGTCCCCCCCCCCCTGCGGCAACCCCCGTACCACGACGTTATGCAGTGACCAACTAGATGTTTACTAATAATAGGCAGCAGTATGGGGCTAACTTGTCGTCCGAAAGATTATTTTTTTTTTTTAGTATACAAGGTAACCTTGCGGCCAAAAGTACCTGTCAAAAGCGAAGCGAGCGGGCGAGCGATTGAGACGGAACAGCCCGAGCGAGGCAACTCGACACGACGCCTCCTCATCCTCGAATCTTCACGGATTCAACCTTGTTTTTTGTCTTAAATCTCCCGCGTCTTGTTTGGGCTGATGTGCATGAGTTTGACTCGCTCGAGATTCCTGCGAGACCAAGTTGCCAAACGCGCTTGCGACGCCCCGTGTCTCGCGTCTTGGATGCCATGACTAGACGACTTCAAACTGCTTTGCTGACAGCAAAAAAAAAAAAGAAAAAAGGCCCTCCCCCCCATTTTCCCCAGACGAGGAAAGGGAAATATGGAATTGACACCTATACTATAACTAAAAGTTCCTGTCCTACACTTGCCGTTTCTTCTTCTTCTTCTCATCACCTTCCATAGGCTCATGGTTGTTGATCAGCTACCCCAAAACTCTAAACCCCGGCCAGTAGCTTTCTAGCGCTTCTAGACCATATTCACCACGGCTTCAGAGTAAAACTTTTCGCGGCGCACCTTTCGTTTCATTCTCCAAGGGATCTTTTGACCTCATTCCAAATTGGACTTCCTCATATTAAAGATGTACCTTGTCAATCGTCAAGTCCAAGATCGCCAATTGCTCGCGGCTTACCTGTCCCTGGCTCCGTCACTCCCCTGAGGCGCGGCAACGCGTGCCTGCGTGCCTGGCAGGCCACGGGCGGATTGCCCGATTTGCACAGTGGCGACGGGCTTTTGCTGGGCGCCCAGGCTACGTAGCTAATAGAAAAAAAAAAAAAAAAAAAAAATCTCCCCGTTCCTCAACTTGGCTTGGCCTGTTGTCGATCACTTGTGCCGAAGTTCCTTGTGGCACTGCCCCCGCAGCCCTGTCAGGGCCACTGAGGCGACGCCACGGACGGGATATTCCTGGCAGCTGAAGGAGCTAATAAATAACAGCTAATAATGTAGAGGGAGACAGGCTCGCGCTCATTCTCAGAAGCGACGTGAGTGAGAGCCTCCATCCGTGTGACTTGTGATGCAAGCGCCGATTCCGAGCCTTGGCAGCGCAAGTGATGTAATGTAACAGTTTTTTTTTCCCGGAAATTACCTACTCTCACCAAGGTGTTTAGAGTGACGCCCACCGCCCTCTGTCGTAACCTTTATTGATTTTGCTTCCGAGGCTTTGCCCTTGGCCCAGCTGTGGCTGGGATGGCGGCCGACATCAGCCTTGCAAAAGCAAACAATCGTATAGATTAGGAAGATCGACCCCAGGCTGCAGATTTATTGCATCAATCCATGACCCCAAGAGTCCAGGCTTACGCTGCGGCCTTGCCAAGTTCTTCACTTGACAGCACGCACTGGTAATGCGAAGATCGGTCGCGACGGCGACAGCCCGCCCGCCAACGACGAAAAGCGGCTGGAGCCTAAGCACTGAGTAAGCCCAGGCAACCAGCCAGGATGTAATAGCGATAGAAGCCGATCAGAGAGGAAAGTGCCAAGCCGTGAAGAATTCTGGGCGTCATATTCCCCGACATGATGCCGCCTTGTCACATCCAAGCCAAGGCATCATGCAACACAACAATCTTGGGAAACACCGAAGTTACCTACACAGGTCCACCGTACCATTTATGCCAATAGAAAGATGCGCCCATTAATTGTCACCTCAAGAGCCGGCTGATCGCATCGGTGTCATCCCCAGTGAGAGGGCAGCGAATGCAGGGTAGGGCCGGATCCGATGTGGCGTCCGCGTGTCGCAACATCATATCCAGTTACTTTATTCAGAACAATGGACTATGAACCAGACTGCTATACCATATATGAAACCCTCATTTACAAGATTTGCAGAATGCCACCGGCACGGACAAGGTCGAGCCGCTATCAATGGTCAAGAAGTTGTGAACTGATCGCCTCGGCGACCTTGGGTTGGAACTACACCCTTCTGTACCAATTCTGCTTTGGATCTCCCAGACACTCTCCAACGGTGACCGAACGGAAGCCGTTTCGGAACAGTGACTTCAGTGCGTACTCTGTAAAGTTGTACACGGTCTGGAAGACGATGTCGTGCTCAATCTGCAACCACTTGGTCGTGCGCGGGTCCCGCTTCTCGACCGCGTCGTCCCAAATGTCCTTGCAATCTTGTATCTCGTCTGGAGAGTCGTGCAGGTAGCCCTCGGTGTCGAGGTTAAAGTACGTGACGTGGTAGCCCATTTCGCCTAGCCAGCGGTCCGTCTTGTCGTTGCTCGCCGAGTACGGCGGTCGCATGTAGGTTGGGAAGTAGCCGAGCAGGTCCGCCAGCGCCACCTCGTTGAAGTACACCTGGTTGCGGAAGTGCGCCTCGCTCAGCGTCGTCAGCCGCTGGTGCGACCATGTGTGGCTGGCCACCTGGTGCCCGCTGGCGATCATGCGCTTGATCAGGCGGCCCCAGGGATGGGCAGGGTCGTTGATGGCGCCCTTGCCGAGGTTGATGCCAGTGACAAAAAATGTCGCCTTTGCACCGTAGCGCTATTGTGATATGTACCATTAGAAAACAAAACATAGTTAAAGATATTGGGAAGCAAGGCGCGCCGGACTGGCTGCGGCCTGCGGCTCACCTGCAAAAGGTTAAGGAGATCTTCCGTGTAAATGTAAGGGCCGTCATCAAAGGTCAACGCGATTACACCGTCTCTTTCACAGCCATAGATGGCTTCACCGTAAGGAACGTTGCCAATGTGCGGTCGTGCAACCCATTCTGTTGCCGGCCCTTTGGGCCGTACATTGGCGTCGCACCGGGGGCCATACTCAATCTGGCAGGCAGGCGCCGAGCAGTATAGATACCCAACTCCGCACCAGCTGGTCAATTTCGTTAGTAAATGACGGGAAGAGTACTTCAAGGGTAAACGCGACATCATACCCTGCGCTTGAGCAGCATTCATCATCCGCGCAGACAGTGCCGAAGCCTGTCCCGCATCGTCCATCTGTAGAGACGGCTCGTGTAGCAATGCTAAGATCTGGCAATCCGCCGGGATGAGCGGACGTGATTGCGGCGAGCTGCAAGAGAGAAGCAAGTTGGCGAAGCATCCTGTCAAGTCGTACATGAGTTGACTAGGCGATGTATCGTCATTCACTCATACAGAAGAGTAGAAATCCACGGCGGCCCAAGACGGCCAGTCCCGGCATCTATATAGTAGCAGCTCAACACCCTCCTCGTAACCGACAAATTGCAACCATAAATTACGACATACTGCATCTTCGTGTGCTGCGCGCTGAGATGAATGCCGTGGGACAACCCCTCACGGGTGCAACACGAGAGCTCTCTGGGCTGCAATCAGGTGCCAAGTTGCTCGGGTAGCTGCAGCACATCTTTGATTCATGCGTCAATGCTTTCCAACTGCATCCACGTACTGCCGTATTATCTGTCAGTCACTGTTGTAGCACAGTAACCGCTGGACTGTGCTCAGCGAGGAAAAACGAGGTGAGCTGCTATTTCAGGCCGACGTCGCACAGCGCAGCTGGGCATTCACCACCGGCATTTGGCCTGCGTCTTAAGTTGGACTGCGTAGGTAGCTTGTCTTGGCCCAGACAAACATTGACGGAACAGCTGCTATGTGCGGACTTTCACCACGAGTCGTCATTTTGTCTTGGACTCATGGTAGCCGGTGTGGAGCATTTCTAAGAAGGTATCTTATCAATCAGTTGGTTGGCTAGGGTTGGCCAGGGTATGCCGATTGGGGTCTTTGGCCATTGGAAAAAAAAAAGCTCTCTGCTATTGCTCAAGGTGCCAGGTTCAGGCATCGACTTGCGGCAGGACTTTGGCCGAGATGCTAATGCTGCAGGCCATGTGCCGCACTTATTTGTTACTCCGTACTGGTAGTTTTAATCTCGGCTGAGGGCCTTTGCTCCGGACCCGGACTTGGCGAGACGGGCTTAAAGCTATCAGATTGAAACATGGCTTGGTCGGATATCCGACTGGGTGGTCGGAGACGAACCATAAAAGCATAATTTGTGGCTGGTCCTGTCCAGGCCTGGGCTCCGGGCCTTTGAAAAGTTTTTTGCTCTTTGCAATGAATTTTGATCGCATTGAGAATGAACAAAGGTCAGAAATAAGCTTTGGCCCAATGCCATGCCAGGCCTTTCCTGAGGAGCTAGCAGAGCGGCGCGCCGCCCGCAGAGGCTAGGACCAAAGAGTCCTTTATTGCCGTGACCTGTTCCAGCTGCTGGTTTCCGACGGGCTTCAGCACGAGCCGGGGACAAATGAGGCAGCGAATGAAAGCTGTTGGGCCAAGAGACGAGATGGAGAAAAGAATCCGCGTCGACCGTTGGCCTAGGACAAAATTGCCCGGCTTCCACGAGGGGCGCAGGGTTCTAGAAGAGCTGAGGGAGACGGAGCAATTCGCTCGAAGCCCACAGTTTGGTGGATATGATCGTATAATTATTGGCTTTGAATATTATTGCTTTGTCGACGACCCTGGAAAGGCTGAAGAGTGTTGAATGGGCTGTTGTCTCAAACGGGGGACCTAGGGCGGGGGAAGGAAGCCAGGCAACACAAAGAGGCCGGGTGCGGACGTTGCTTGGTGTTGCATTCCAGAGACAGGAAACAGAGGGCCAGAGGCAGCATCGTGCTATCCTGGGAAGGAACCCACCATTTTGTCTAGAGAAATTTCGACAATCACCCAAAGTCGTCGTAATAGAGTAATTGTCTTGCCAAGCCACGCGGGGCTCTGAAAAAAATCTCGTTGCTTGCTTGACTCGGCCGTGGTCTCTCTCAGCAAGGTAGGAGGTCCACCCAAGCGGGCGGCACGCCCAGCAATGCCAGGTTCGGTTGATCGCTTGGACTACCGGCAAATGGTTCTGGATGCATGCAGCCCGTACACCGGCGAATCCGAGGCGATGGTGATGGTGATGAAGGGTGGTGGTCGATGGAAGGTGGGCGCCACAGACCTTACCTGGTACGGATTATCAGCAGAAGAAACGGAGCAGCTGACAGAGGAACCAGGATCCCAACTCCCTCCCTGCCTTCGTCAGAAAAAAGCGTGCTTTCGGCGACAGAGACCGCCCCTATGTAGAATGCAGAATAGGTGGTTTTAATCGGATCAGATAACTCGTCGAAACGAAACGAGGCGTCCGGCCAGTGGCGTGCAAGTCCTCAGACTAGCTCCCAAGTTGGCTGTGTCCGTGGTGGAGATGGCTGAATGGCGGCGTCAACAAGGGTGGTGAGAGCCTGGACGGGAGGGAAAACCTTGTCGCCTGATCAATGGCTTCAAACTTTTTTTTTCTGTTTTTCTTCTCAAGTGGGTAATCTAATCAATCGCAAGGTTTGTTCGGCGTAAAGTATATACATGTGTATACGTACTGAACATATTGTAGGTGGAGAGTTTCTGGACGCGTCTGCAGCTAGGACACCTACTTAAACAACCTGGTTGCCCCCCCTCCAGCTCGCCTGTCTCACTTTTTTCCTCACCTTGTTGTTTTCATCAATGACCCCATCCTTTGTTGCAGCGAGGAACAGCTCGGCTATTTTTATGGGACAGTCTCTGTAGCTGATACCTGCAGATAGATATCCCCAAGGACTTCCCCTCCTCCGTCCTCATCCCCTCCTCCCACACTTGCTGCAGCACAGACAACAAGGCCGACAAAGGAAGCCCATCGACCACAATGGCCAGCTACAGCGCCCAGAAGCGCCTTAACCTGCGCGGTGCCGACGGCCAGGTCGAGGATACCGTCGCCAAGGCCGATGTCACTCTCGCCGACATTGCCCGCGGCGTCAAGTCGCCCGGTGTCGCACGCATAGAGGCGATCGCGGCCAGCTTGACCATGTTCGACCGCATACTCATCTTTACCAGCGCCTTCATCCTCGCCTACGCCTACGGTCTCGACGGCGGCCTGCGCTTCAACTACCAGACGTACGCCACCAACTCGTTCGACAAGCACTCCCTGCTCTCTACCATCAACGTCGTCCGTGCCGTCATCGCCGCCGCGGCCCAGCCCACCGGCGGCAAGCTCGCCGATATCTTTGGCCGTGTCGAGCTGCTTATCTTCTCCGTCATCTGCTACACTGTCGGCACCATCATCGAGGCTGCCTCCGAGAACGTCGGCACGTTTTGCGCTGGCAGCGTCATCTACCAGATTGGCTACACCATCGTCATCCTCCTCGTCGAGGTCATCGTCGCCGACATCACCACCGCCCGCTCCCGTCTCTTCTTCAGCTACATCCCCGCCTTGCCCTTCATCATCAACGCTTGGATCAGCGGCGACATCCAGGCCTCGGCTGCCAAACACATCTCCTGGCACTGGGGCATCGGCATGTGGGCCATCATCTACCCCATCTGCGCCCTGCCGCTCATCCTCAGCCTGACCTGGGTCGGTATCCGCGACAAGGTTAGGGAGCACGGTCTCTTCGGCTACCTCAAGCACTCCTTCCGCTCCCCTGTTGCCGAGACGTCTGGCGGCAACATCTTTTCCCGCTTCATCAAGTTCTCCAACGAGCTCTTCTGGGCGCTTGATGGCATCGGCATCATCCTCGTCATCGCCGTCTTTGGCCTCATCCTTGCGCCCCTCACGCTTGCTGGCGGCACTGCCGGTGGCACGCCTCCCAAATGGGGCTCCGCTGGCATCATCGCCCCTCTCGTCATCGGTGTCTGCTGCATTCCCGTCTTCGTCTTCTGGGAGCTGCGCGCCCCTGTTCCGCTCGTCCCCTTCCGCTTCATGAAGGATCGCTCGGTCTGGGCCCCGTTTGGTATTGCCATCTTTCTCAACTTTGCCTGGACCATGCAGGCCGATTTCCTCTTCACCGTTCTCCAGGTCGGCTTTGACTTTAGCGTCAAGGCCACGTCCCGCATCACCCTCCTCTACTCGTTTGTTAGTGTCATTGTCGGTACCTGCGTTGGCGTTGTTGTCTTCAAGGTCCGCCGTCTCAAACCCTTCATCATCGCCGGTACTTGTCTGTTCATGGTTGCCTTTGGTTTGCTGATCCACTTCCGAGGATCCGTCACCGCCGACAGCGCCGCCAGAGCCGGCGTCATTGGTGCCCAGGTCGTCCTCGGCTTCGCGGGCGGTCTCTTCCCCTACACTACCCAGGCTTCCCTCCAGATCCAGGTGCCCCACGAGAAGATGGCTGTCCTCACGGGTATCTTCCTGGCCATGTACAACATTGGCTCAGCGCTGGGATACTCCGTTGCCGGCGCCATGTGGACGCAGCTGCTGCCCGGGGAGCTCGAAAAGCGCTTCGCCCCCATCAATGCCACCATGGCTCAGGAAGCCTACGGCTCGCCCCTCACCTTTATTCTCAGCCACCCCATCGGCACGCCCGAGCGAACGGCCCTCATCAGCGGATACCAGCACATCCAGAGGCTGTTGACCATTACTGGTATCTCGCTGTGTGTGCCGCTCATTATCTTTTCCCTTCTCATTCGCAACGTCTACCTTACCGACGAGCAGAGCTTGGTCAAGGACTCCGACGTGTCGTCCGACGAAGAGACCGGCCTGGAGCAGGTTACTGCAGCCGAAAAGAAGTAGAGATTGTACGAGTTGTCAATGTATCACGAAGCGCATGGACGCAATACTTTCATTCTGCCCCAGCGCACTATTGTTTGGATATCAATTTTTCAATAGTGATTATCTTAATATACCCTTTTCTGTTATTTAATTTCCTCCACTCTTTGATGCACATGTGTGCCGTAATCTTGCTATTGCAGGATGTCTGATGACCGGATTAAGAAAGTGTTGGTTTAACAGGGCGACGGGACTTTGTTGACGGTGCCACGGTTTCATAATTTATCACTATTTAACGTGAATTGCTTAAAGGTATTAATAAAACAAAAGCGAACTTTTGCTCAGCTGTCGTGACGGTCAACACTGGCTCTTACACGAACGGGCACAAGCCTCATAGCAACGTATATCCGCCGTCCACGATCAAATTAGCGCCCGTCATGTAGCAGCAAGCGTCGCTCGCAAGGAAGACATAAATCTATTCGGAGTCAGATACAGTGAGCCACGGTACAGTTGAGTTCAAACTTACCCCCTTCAACTCCGAGGTGGCTGCCATGCGGCGGCCTGGAATCAGAGAGAGCCATTGCTCCATGCGCTCCTTTGGCTGGTTGTATAACACTGCGCATGTTAACTTCCCATCACCACGACAATACCTCCATGTCGGGTATATATGTATACTTACTATCCGTCTCGACAAACCCGGGCGAGACGCAGTTCACCCGCGCAAAGTCCACCCACTCCACCGCCAGCACCTTGGCCAGCTGCACCACCGCCGCCTTGGCCGCGTTGTACGCCGCCTGCCGCTGCGGCACGTTGACCAGCGTCGCGCTGACCGACGCTGTGATGATCAAGTTCCCCCTCCCCTGCTCCTTAAACACCCTGCCCGCCGCCTGCGCCGTCCACATGACGCCGTCGTAGTTGACCGCGCTGTTCTGCTGCCAGGTCTCCTCGGTGTACTCGAGGCTGGGCACGTCGGCGCAGACGCCCGCGTTGGCGACCACGACGTCGAGGCGGCCGCCAAAGTCGGCGACGACCTGGTCGAGGGTGCGCGCGATGGCGGCGCGCGAACGCACGTCGCCCTGGTACGCGGCGACCTTGACGCCGGCGGCGGCGGCGATCTCGCGCGCGGCGGCGAGGGCGGGGGCGCTGCTGGTGCTGTAGATAATGGCGACGTCGGCGCCGGCTTCGGCGAGGCCACGCACGATCTCGAGGCCGATGCCGCGGGCGCCGCCCGTGACGGCGGCGACTTTGCCTTTAAGGGAGAATTGTGAGAGGACGGGAGCGTCCGGGTTGTCGGGGCGGTAGAGAGGCATCGTGCGGGATGGAGAGGAGGGGTAAGTGCGAAGTACTGAACTTGGAGTCAAATATCAAGTTTCTAGCGTGGGGGACGTTTCTACTTTATACAATAGTTTCTCTCTGCCTTGAATTCCGGGGATCGGACGCTGTACACAGGACGGCTTCGAGACGGGCCTAAACCCGCGAAATAGACAACCGCTCCAGTGGTTGAAGCTTGTACAGCCGCACCAATAAACTCGGCGGACGGCGTGGAGTTGGGCCATTTTTCGGTGGTGGCTCCGATCTGGCCAAAACCTGCGGGGGATCAACCAGATGCCTTTGTGATACATGAAGCAGTGTTCGAGCAATTAGAAGCTAGAGAATTGCAGCTTTATGTTTAGCGGCGTCTCTCCGCGCCAATTCTCTGTACCAGTTGATTCACACGAAGAATGGGTATTCAGGCTAATTGGCTGAGTTCATGGCCTTTGTTGCAATCGTGCCCGCAAGCGCGCCGGACGGATCCCGATAGTCGCCGAGTAGCCATTGCATTCATACCGAATGCTAGGATTGTCGCTCGCGGATGGAGCGTTTTCAAAGATAAAAATCCTAGCAGGATTATAGAAGTACCGATGCCGCGTGCTGCCAGACGATGGAGGCTGGAGAGAATGGCCCATACTCAAGGTTCCAGTAAGGCCCTTGGGTTGAAGGATGCTGGAACTGAGCAGCGCATGCAACGTAATCAAACAAGGTACGCGCAATTGGTGGGGTGCGTAGGCAACATTGTGGTTGCCATTTCTCTCCCCAATCAGATATTTCTCGGTTCTCTCGGTTTATTAGAAAGCATGCTTTCGTTGGCGTTGCAATGCTATCATGCGGTTGCGTCAGCGTTGGAGAAGTTTGCTAGCCCTGGAGCTGGGCAGTGCAGGCGGCTGAGGCTGTTCCGTCGTCCCATCACTTCCAGAATGGGACATGAAGGCGCGCGTTGAGCCCCGGGCAGTTAGTGTGGCGAATGTGAAGGTGGGTCGTTAATGCTGAGAGATGATCGAAGAGGCATATTGGAATGGGAAAATTCAGAAGCAAATGCGGATACAGGGCCTGGAATTTCGGACAAACAATGGAAAGTCCACGGAAGAGGGCAGTTTTAATCGCCGAGACTGGCCCCTGTAACAATCTGGCATTGTGCTGTGGGCTAGGTAAGGTACATAGTTACCGCCTAGTTACCTAACTACTAACATACTACATATGTGCAGAACCAACCCAGCCGCAATTACTGTTGGAAAATGTAGTAAAGAAAAGAAAAGGATAAAAAACAAACATAGAAAGAGTATCAAGTCCTCACAGTCTTGCTTTTCATTATAAGTCTAGGTAAAGTACTAAAACATCAATACGAGCCGTACTTGCATCTGCCCAGCAACGCGTTTGCTCCCATTTTTAGATACGCCAAGCCACCGCCCTGCCGACCGGCTCTACAGCTGCTGCCGGCTGCCAGCTGCCAGCCAGGCTGAGTAAGACTGCCGCCGATTGCATCCTACATAGATTCGTCGGCAAGTTTTGTTTCATCCGTCCCTTCAGCATTAACCAAACTTCTTCTTCTTGCATCCTCGCTTCTATAGTTGTTGGTCGGCTTGCTCACTGTAATTGGATTTCGCTCTCTTTTCAACCGCAGTTTCTACAACTACCAGCTCCTCAACAAACCTCTGGGCTGTGCTCGCGCGCTGCTCAACCTTCTCCCTTGCCACTCACCTATCATGTCGCTTTCATGAGACCATGTCTCCGTTTACTCCCAACGAACGTCAGAGACGAATTCTTCAATTGTCTTCAGAATGGGGCGTCATAATCCCGCCCGCCCCCAAACCTCTTACCAAACCGTTACAAATCCCCACGTTCCAAGGCCCTGGAGACGATGAAACGGCGGAGAGCTTGTTGCAAAGGCGAGCGGCCGATGCCGCCCAACTACGACCAAAAGGCAGCCTATCGCGGGCATTTTCCACCTCAAATCTCAAGAAGGGCAAACACTGGGACCCTCGCGACATAATCGAGGCTCTGGCTACGCATGTCGCTAATAGCGGCTCGCCGGGCATAGCCGAAGCCCTGATCGGAAAGCTCTCCGCTGCGGGTGTTGACTTGTCGGGAAACCAAAAGCAGAAATCTAGCCTACTAGGCCGAAGGAAAAGTGTCGATCTTCTCCCCGACCGTGCCCGGCTGCTCCGCCTCGCCACCGAGAGCGGCAGCGCAGACATGGTTCAAGTTCTCATACCCCATGCCGATGCACTGGCTATTGATGCCAGCATTCCCGCTGCTATTAGGAAAGCCGATTTAGCAATTGTTGAACTATTGCTGAAATATGGAGCCAATGTGGGCGAGACAGCCGACGGGCAGGACGCCTTTCGTCAAGCTTGCGCCGACAACCACAAAGCCAACATGATTGGCGTAATCCTCAGCTCGACGGGGAGGCCGTCACCAGCCATGATTTCCCAAGCAATGGGCGATGCTTCTCGATCCGGCTGTCTGGATAATGTCGTGCAGCTCAGCCGATCTACCGCAGACGGTAATTACAACCAGGGCGAGGCACTCATTACCGCGGTTAACATGGGCCGGCGCGATATCGCCCTGGCAATCATTATGGGTAACAGACCGCCGCAACCATCTTCGCTCAACAGCGCATTCATCACACTCTACTCACACCCCTCTATAAGTCCTGCCACCAAGCTTGACATCGCCGAGCTTTTGTTGTGTGCTGGCGCAACGGGTGAATCGCCGGCATTGGCTCTGGAGCAGGCCTGCAAATCCCAGTTTTACGACATGGTGTTTCTTCTCTCCGCATACAATGTCTCTATCGAGTACAATGATGCTTCTGCACTGAAGTATGCCATCACAGGTGGCGAGATGGAGCTTGTGGAAAGGTTACTAAACAGCGCGGCGCCATTAAATCCACAATACGCATCCTCCTGCGTGGCCCTCATCCCAAAGCAGGCTTCATTCGAAGCGCGATACTCTCTCCTGATACAGCTTCTGCACCGTGGTGCTAATGGACCGGCTCTGAGCCAGTGCCTGATCGATGCAGCCGAGTCAGGCGACCTCGGCTCGGTTGACCTGCTTCTCAACCCACGCTTTCCCCAGCAAAGCAACGGATCTTCAAATGGGAACCCATCACTGCTTAATACACATGCAGTGGCATCGGTGGATTACCGTGATGGTGAGGCATTGCGCACTGCTGTTATCCGAGCCGACGCGCTTTTGGTCCAGAAGCTCCTGAAAGCTCGACCATCGCTACAAACCATCACAGCTGTCTTTCCCCTGACGAGAAAACTAGCAGTTCAAGAACGTCACCAAATAGTCAGCTTATTCTTGGAGGGTAGCCTTTCCGGAGACTGTCTTCATGCCGCCCTCCAAGACGCCCTCACGCCGCCTCAAACCCAACGGGACGACAATCTCATTAAGCAGCTACTTGCTAGTGGTGCCGATATTAACTACGGTTCTGGAGAGGGCCTCGTGCCACTCATCAAACAAATGGACTTGGGCCTCCTTTCCCTCATGAGTTCGAGCATCTCCCCTCAAACGGCATCTTCGCGTATTGCGGATGCGATGAAGGTTCCAGACCATCGGTCACGATATGAGATTCTCAGCATCCTATTCAAAGCTGGTGCAACTATCGGTGTATCCGAGGTAGCTTCCGCGACCCTGGAAACATTATCCGAGAAGCCGGTCGACATGTCACTTCTTCGACTGTTGCTTGAAACAGGCAGCGCCGATATTAACGGGTGCGATGGCGCTATTATCGCCAAGGCAATAGAGAATCCAGACCCGAAAGTCCTCGAGCTTGTCTTGTTCTTCGGAAACCCGTCCGCGACGTCAATAATACACGGCTTGGATGCACTGGCCCCGAAGCTGTCAAATGATGTCAAGAAGTGGAAGTTTGAGGCTATTCTATCCAAATCAACAAAGACAATTGATTTGAACCGGGTCCTTATCCTTGAAATACAATCGCTCGTTGAATATAGTGCAAAACAGCCAGCGTTGGACATTTTGGGGATGCTCCTGAACTACAATGCTGACCCGAACGCTTTTAATGCAGCCTCTCTCTGTCATGCTGTCATCGCGGCAGATACCACAATAATCAGCCACCTTCTGAAGAGCCACATAGCAGCTAAGCCCATCTCCTTGGGTATCGCTTTGCCACATGCACTACGCATTGCAGATCAAGCTGCACGCTATTCTGTCACAGGGTTGCTTGTCGGTGCTGGCGCACCCCCGGTGGAGGTCAATAGAGCCCTCCAGCATGCTATCAAAGTATATTCCCAGGATTTATCACTTATAGAGCTTCTTTCTTCCAAAGCAGACACTGGAGATGGCGATGTGCTGTCCCTTGCTGTCGAAAAAGAGTCTCCGGAGCTCACGTTGATTCTGCTCAAGAACGCAAAAACATCACCTCAGGCACGCAGCACGGCTCTGACAAGAGCGATGGACATTAAACCCCGAAACATACGGCACGAAATATGCAAGCAACTTCTGCTTTCCGGTGTACCCGCGGATACCGCCTCCATTGCTCTCTTAGTTGCAGCGCGGGATGGCGATGTGGCTCTCGGTGACACTCTGATGGCGCATGGCGCAAGTATCACTACAAACAACGGACAGGCAATTATAGAGGCCTGTCGTGGTGGCTCCATCGACGTTCTTAAAGTCTTGCTGAAACCAGATGGACAGATGTCAAAGGCGACGCTGAACGAAGCGTTCCAGGCTGCCACCGAAGTGCGCGACCTCGATAAGCGCGCCGTGGTATTCAAGTATCTACTCCAATGTGGCGCATCTGGTGAGTTCATCGATGCGCAACTTCAATCCGCGGCGAGATATGGCGAGCCCGGAGAGAGTCTTTTGAAGGTTCTACTTGCGGCTGGAGCAGATCCCAACTACAACAGCGGCGAAGCCGTCGCTGCAGCCACGCGCAGCGCCTTTTTACGCAGTCTACAGTTGCTTCTAGGTTTATGGGATGACGCAAAAAGTCAGGTATGCAACAATGGCTACTACTTTCCTCCTTTCTTCTTTGTGCTGATAACTACACAGAAGTTACCCTCGCAGCCTACGTTAACTCGCGCATTGAAAGCCTCATGGAATCTCAACCGCGATACCCGCTATGCGATTACTCAAGATTTAGTGAAAGCTGGCCTTCAACCATGCGAAGACCTGCACATTGTTCTCAATGACGCAGTCAATGAAGAAGATCCGGAAGAGCGCCTAGTACGGCTACTTTTGGAGAACGGGGCATCTGCTACTTCAAACAGCTGCAAGTCCTTAGTAGATGCCGTGCAGAGTATGGCGTCTTCCTGCCTTTCACTCATGCTGCAGCACGACATTGCAGCAAAGGATATAAACCACGCTTTCAATGGGGCATTTACTGGCGAGACCTTTTATAAGTGGCTCACCCCCAGAGGTCTTGAAACTGCTCAACTGCTTCTAGACAAAGGTGCCAGTGGGGACGCTCTGAGCAACACACTGCTGTTAGTCATGCAAAAGTCTACTCCGGAAAACAGTGATCTCGCTGATAAATTTGTCGAGACCCTGGTATCCCATGGTGCTGACGTCAATTACAATCGCGGCCTGCCGCTTCAACAGGCTGCCTCTGTAGCCAACATTGACTGGACACAAAAGCTTCTGAGCTGCAAGCCGACATCAGAAACGTTGTCTCTAGCCTTTCAGTGCATATTTGATACAGCACTTAGCCAGGAGGAAGTGCTGGGCTTGTTTAAGCTCTTTGCTGAGTATCGAGACGGAGATGCTCAAATCGACGTCATGGTCACCCTGCAAGGCTCTGAACCAGTATTGGTGCGCGCTATGAAGCAATATCCACGTTCCCCAATGATTATATCAACGTTGCTCGATGCAGGCTATTACCATGATCAACTCACCACATATGCCCTCCATTCCGATGTTGGCGGTGAAGAGGTCACCCTGCTCCTCTGGGCCATCGCTCAACCGCAGAAGCGAGTTGGCACATCCGTCATTGAACTTCTTATTGAGCGGGGTGGTAGGTGACATAAATCTCCTGGCAATGATTTAATGCTAACACTCTTGCAGCCAAAGTCAACGTGACCTCGTCCTTATCTGGCTCGACGCCATTGACGCTCGCCGTTTTAAAACGTCGTCCAGACGTAGTCAAGCTGCTGCTCATTGAAGGTGCAGAAGTCGATGTCATCGACTACAAGGGTCGCACACCGCTATCCATGGCGACAGACATGGAAGGGGATGTCGCCGTGCAGATGATGTCAAGTATCCTGGCCGCGGAACCCTGCCGCGACGACGGGTCCCTTCATAACGCCGCGCGGGAGCTAAATCTTGCCGCGGTTCGGGTCTTGGTGCAAGCCGGCCACGACCCCGACTTCCCCAGCCCGCTCCATAACGGCCGAAGCGCGCTCGGCGAAGTCTGTCTACGGGCCGCCACCGGTGCTGAAATGTCGCCCGAGCGTGAAAGGCTTACGCAAAAAGTTATGACGTTTCTCATCGACTCCGGCTCCGACCTTGCCATCCAATCGCACGGTAAACCGCTCTTGCACCTCTGCTTTACTTCGTTGGAGCCCATTGCCACGACGCGTGCGCTCTTGAAGGCCGGTATGTGGAAGCACATCAACAAGCCCTTGAATCGCTTCACGGACGAGAACTGCACATACTCGCCCACCATGTACGTCGCCAAGGCCATGCCGTCGCTACACTGTCGCGAGGAGTTACTCTCCGTGCTGCGCGCCAGCCGCGCGACTGACGTCTACTACGCGACCAGCGGCGACGCTCAGCCTGATGATGCTGTCGGTCTCCCAGACGATATGGCCGCCGCGGAGCGCACCCGCCGCGCCCGGCTTGAGCGACTCGCGCAGGACACCGAGGAGCACGCCATTGCGCTCGCCCGGCGCCGTGAGATCTCTAGCGTTGAGCAGCAGATTGCGGGGCAAAAGGCCGAGATGGAAGACGCGCGGCGCCGCCGGCAGCATGGCGAAGACCTGGCGGCTGTGCGCACACGTGCGCAGCTTGAGGAGTCCATCGCCGCCACGACCCTCCAGCGGCGCCTGGCGGACCAGCACGCTGTCACCGAGGCAGCCATGGGCCGGACGCGTGCGCTAGCCGCCGCGGAGGCGGACGCCGAGGAGGTGCGCCAGCGGAAAGCGCTTGAGTGGGAGACACGCGTCAGCAAGGAGCGCGCGGACAGTGCGCGCGCACTCAGCGTGATCCGGGTGAGCGAGCGGGAAGAGTTGGAGCGCGTGGATCGCGCGGCGGAACAGAGGTTGGCGAAGCGCATCGACGCACAGCGCAAGCTTGTTGAGACGCAGGAGCGTCTGGCGAATCGGCTGGCCAACGGGCCAATGGTCAACGGCGGCGCAGACCCCAGACGGCAGATTGGCTATGTGACGGAGCTGAACTGAGGGAGTTGGAAAGATTGGAGAACAAGGTTTGGAAAAGGAGGCATTCACTTCATGCGCCCTCTAGTCCTCATACCCAGAGTGACTTGGGTCTTTGAAAAAGGAATGACTGCTATTAATGAAACCATTTACGGCCGGTAGCCATGTATTTATTCATTGATCTTTTCGGTTGTACAACGTATAGTAATGGAGCTACAGACGTCTCTTTGAACATGCAAGAATTGAACACAAAATCACAGCACCAGTAAGGGACAAAAATATGCAAATCTTCACATGCCTCTTTCGTCATTTTGCAATGCTTCAACAGCCCCGCTCCAGGTATAGTACATGTTACTCTTTGCTGCCCTTAAAGTTCATCTTGATAGAATCCGCGCCCGTTTCCACGACGCAGTAGCCCTCGGCCTCATCCGCCTCGCCGCTCGCCGCCTTCTCGTACGCCGCGTCGCTGCGGTCGCACAGCACCTCCAGGTCCGCCTCGCTCAGCACCTCCTCGCCGCCCGTCGTCTCAAACACCTGCCCATCCTTGAGCAGCAGCTGCTCCAGCTCCTTCTCACCCACCCCCGCGCCGCCGTCGCCGCCCTCCATCTTCTGCCCCATGGTGCGGAAGCCGCCCTTGCGGATGACCAGCTTCTCGAGGCGGCGCTTGGCGTCGGCGGCGAGCAGCAGGCGCTCCTCGACGGTGCCCCGCGTGGCGAGGCGGTAGACGACGACGGGCCGCTGCTGGCCGATGCGGTGGGCGCGGTCTTGGGCCTGCAGGTCCTGCTGCGGGTTGAAGTCGGAGTCGAAGAGGACGACGGTGTCGGCGGCGGCGAGGTTGATGCCCTGGCCGCCGGCGCGCGTGGAGAGCAGGAAGACGCGGTGGGAGGAGTCGGTGGAGAAGCGCCGGATCTGGTCGCGGCGCGAGGCCTGGGAGACGGAGCCGTCGATGCGGCAGACAGGCCAGCCGCGGAGCTCCCGGCAGTAGTCCTCGAGGATGTCGAGCTGCATGGCAAACTGCGAGAAGATGAGCACCTTGTGGTCGTGCGCGAAGAGGTGATGTAGTAGGCGGTCGAGGAGCAGCATCTTGCCGGAGGCGGTCACGATGGACTCATCGACGGGGGTGTCGGTGGCCACGGCCCACGGGTTGTAGAAGTTGTGGGGGCTGTTGCAGACGAGGCGATGCTGGGCGAGGGTGTTTCCAAGTCGTTTGGCGGCGATTTGCTTCTCTGGAGAGGGAGGTCAGTGGTTGGCGGCGGAACCTAGATGGGTGTGTATACTTACTGGCCAGTTCGAGAGTCTGGGCACGCTCAATCTCTTCGGGAGATCTCGACTCTGGCTCTGGGTCGGAATTCACGGCGCTTCCCATCTCCTGAACAAGCTTCGCCTCGAACTCGGCATCGGAGAGCTCGTCGTCGTCTTCCGAATCGGCTTCCTTGTATGTACGCGACCTTCTGGGGCGACCACGTGTAGATGCCGGCGTCGATCCGCGACTGGATCTGGCGCTCTTTGGTTCAGGCTCCGCAACCACAGTAGCCAAGTTCTTGCGCTTTGCGCCGCTCTTCGTCGGTGTGGCAGCAGTCTCTTGCTTTGGCTGAGCGGAGGTTTGGCGAGTAGCCTTGCCCATCATTCTAGTAAAGGCGTTGGGCCTCGCCGGCGATTCTGTCTTGTTGCTTTCGGACCGACTATTCCTAGGAGTCCCTCGAAGTGGCAGCGACATCTTATCCTGCTTCCCATTCGACTTGGACTCTTTCTGCGCTGGCTTTTCCGACATGATGTGCTTTTCCACCTTCTTTTGGAGGAATTCGCGCGTGTCGACATTTTTATTACTCAAAACATTGTACAGATCGGTTTGCTCTTTGGTCATGGGTGCGAATAGCACATATTCACGCTTTCGTGGGAGGTATGCGGCAACGTCCTGCTTGATGCGGCGGAGCAACAGAGGCTGCAGGATGAGATGCATCTTTTTGACCAGGTCTTGCTTCATTTTATCCTGGATAAACTCCTGGGTACCCTCTTCATCTTCGAGGCCGGAAAAGTCGAACCAAGACTCGAACGATTCCCAGTTTGTAAAGATGTTGGGTAGCAAGAAGTGAAGTAGGGACCACAGCTCTTTCAAATTGTTTTGCAGGGGCGTGCCAGTAATTAGCAGACGGGTGGCAGAAGTAAACTGCCGCAGTTCCTGGAAAAGCTTGGCCTCGGCATTTTTCATGCGATGTCCCTCATCCTATTGAGCTGATTAGTACTGCCTTTCGGGAGATCATGGCGCATGCATACAATGATGATGAATTCCCAGTTGATACGCGACAAAAATGCCTTGTCCTGAAGAACCATCTCGTACGACGTGCATACGACGGGGAACCTTTCGGTAGGACGGCCGGCTTGCATATGCTTCATGATTTTCTGCGAGAAAATTTGCTGGCGTTGCTCTGGCTTGCCGTGATACATGACGACCGGAATCGAGGGCGTCCATTGTTGAAATTCGTCCATCCAGTTGGACAAGGTGCTCAGAGGCGCAACAATGAGGTGAGGGCCAAGGTAGTTTTCTTGCTCTCGAAGCAAGGCTATAAGGGATATCGTTTGGACCGTTTTGCCTGGGCGCGCTTGTTAGCCAGTGTCCTCTTTCGACGGTCGCAGTAATAGTGGCCTACCAAGGCCCATTTCGTCGGCAAGAATTCCGCTCATGCCCTGTGAGCAGATCTCGAACATCCAGGTGAGACCCTCGAGTTGATAGTCACGCATTTTACCCCCAACCATGCATTTGGGTTGCTTCGCCATCTGCAAATCATGTTCACCAAGAGTCTGGCCGTCTAAGCCGCTCCCAACACGACCCAATACTTGTGTCTTTTTGGTCAAGATGTCGCTGAAAGCCGCACTCTTCATAAGAAGTTCGTCAAGCTGTCTTGCCTGGGCCTCGCGCTCTGCCTTGGTGGTCGCCTTTTTCGTCTTACGCTTGCGGGCGAGGGCCTGACGCCGCTTTTCCTCGGCGAGGTTGTTGGCAATGCGGGCCTGCTCTTCTTCCTTTTCAAGCTCGTCATCGTTTATAGTTTCGTTTGGCGGCGAGCGGGCTGGTGGCGGCGAGCTCGCGGGGCTGGAAGCATCTTTTGGTTTGGACATTATGGACTCGACGTCGGAAGACGAGGCTGCATCCATGATGCGTTTGAACGTGCGATCGTGTGGCTATAGGTTCACAGGGAGAGAACGTGCGCTCCCTCTATTCGAATTGGGTCCAATTGATGCGTTTGTTGGAATGGAGGGCTGGATTCACGGCGTAGAGTTCTTCGCCGATACGCTGCCGTGTGGCGCTAAGAGGGGTCGTGAATGCGCTTCAGACTGCGTTCACCTTAACAAGTTGCAGTAGAGCGAAGTAAGCCTGAGCAGGAACTGACTATGCAATGAGGTTCAAAGAAAAACCAGAAAAAAACATTTTTAAACGACTGCGACGGTAGATTTCAAGGTAGAAAAAATGTATGACGTTACTTGGCACTCGCTGGAACGCGACGCGTCTTGAAGCGCGCGCGCGAGGTCACGTGTAGGTTAAGTGATGAGCGAAGGCGGCCCGGACGTGACCTGACAAGACAGCTTAACGAACCCGTATTCAGGCAAAACTGCTTTAGTAGCTTGGATCACATCTACGCTCAGCTGGACTTGGATTATCTAAGGCTGGCAGTCTTCTACTACGAATAGAGGCAACGGCAGACGATGAGAATCTTGAATGCATGACCTGTAGATGGTGGAGTGACGGGATTCAATACTCGATTTCAATGCGGACTATACGTGGGTGTCGATCGGCTCGTTGCTTTTCTGAGAGATGGTAGGAATTCTGGGGATTTGTAATGCGTAATTATGATGCGTGACCAGTGCGATTAGCAGGATCAGAAGGCTACTGATGCTATAAACAATAGGGAGCACCTAGGACGAGAACCTTGTTGGGCAATCAAGGTATCTAACTATTATCTCATGAAGGAATTTACTGTCTGTAAATAGTCACCTTGCACATGCGAGTTACGTGGAAGCCAGACTAACAGTATTGAGGAATCAGCCACGCACAATCAGCGACAGTCTAGCTTCCTTCGGTCCATCCACCCGAGACTACTCCGTACCTACTCCGTATGCATAAATAACTTGTTGATATTCTTAATCATAATCACTTGTAGAATAACACTGATCATCTTTGGATTTGCCACTTGTTTCAAGAACGGCAGGTCATAAGGCTACAGGCTATTCGTACAGGCTATCAGTCTATCAGTAAGTCACAGCCCACTCGCCCCCATGTCCCCCGTATGGTGTGGGGAACTCGGGCGTAATGGCGACAGAAAATGTTGGTGCAAACGAACCGCTGTAACCTCTTCTTCCATCTCTCCTCCCAATCAAGCAGGTGCTGTTTGTTATCCCGAGCAATGAGCTACACCTGGCCACGCGCCAGGCCAGATGCTCAATGGATTCCTGCGGGGCCTCTTGCGCAATTCCCAGACGTGGCCGGTGACGATGGCAATCTAATCCAGCCCAGGAGATGCGACGCCAAGAGCCTGCCCGGTTGCCGCATCTTGCATGTCCCCAAGACGGATCCTTCCAAGGCCGCCGAGATTGCCATTCCCGCAGGCGCGGCGACATCTCCGACCGAGGGCCAAGACTTGAAGGACCAGGTACTAGTGTTCCGATACCGAGACAGGATGCACGCCGTCGACCATGTGAGTGTCCGACCCGAGATTTGCATCCAGTCCGAGTAGAATCACTCTAATTTTCTGCTGCATCGTGCTAATCGTCTCCCGCCTCCCCTCCCCCAGCAATGCCCACACAACGCATACCCGCTGTCCAACGGGACCGCCTTCGACATAGAAGACTTTGGCGTCGTCCTCAGCGCAGCCCTCACCTGCCCAAAACATGGATGGTCCTTTGACATCTTCACTGGTCAGTCCGACCGTGGTTCCTATAAGCTTCCTGTCTGGGAGATCCAGGTCAGGGATGCACACGGCGATCCATGGTCCGGCAGTCTCAGAAGCGGAACCCTAAATGGCGAAACTGTATGGGTGAGGAGGCGACAAAGAATCGGCTAATAGAGAATAACAAAAGTTCGTCTCCCATTTCAGGCAGAGTCATCACATATTCGTACAGTATGCCATTGTGTGGCTGGCTGGACGACTCGGCCGCTCTCCCCCACAAGGGCAAGAGCCACGATGAGACACTGAGACCACCAAGTTCCACAATGAGATCGCCGCTGTTTCCGCCTATTCGGTAACAAATGCCCGCTGGAGTAATAATGCAGGCAGTCTCGTTATTGTGTATTCCTGCATTGTCAGTTCCACCCGCGAAGCAACCAACCTGCTTGCCCGCCTCTCCTGCCTTCTTCTTTAGGCAAGTGCTTTTGGGTTGGCTCGTGAGCCTGTCCGATGCAACCCAGGCCCGCCCTGGTATGGCATCATGCCTCTACTCCGTCGGTACATCCAGACAGTCACAACACCAGGGCTTCCCCGCGGGTATATATTACTACCTCTTGCTTCTCGCCATCCCATCACTTTTCTCTTGAAAGCTGCGCCACAACCCAGCTTCAATTCTTCTACCACAATGGCTTTCCTTCTCCCTGTCCTCGTGGCCACTCTGGCGGTTGCCTCTCCCGTCAGCCAGTTTGTAACCAAGCAGGCTCTCGACACTGTACCTGACGGCTGGCAGTATAAGGCTGCCGCGCCTTCTGACCAGAACCTGAGACTCCACATCCGTCTCAAGGAAGAGAATATTGACCAGCTGCAGAAGCGCACGCTTGAGATCAGCGACCCTGAGCATGACGACTATGGCAAGCACCTCACCAAGGCCGAGGTCGATGCCCTCACTGCTCCCACCAAGGAAACTGTTGACTCGGTCACCAAGTGGCTGTCATCCCACGGCGTTGATGCCGGTCAAGTCGAGAGCGGCTTCCTGACCATCTCCGTCAGCATCGACCAGGCGCAAAAGATGCTCAACACCGATTATGGCGTCTACACTCATGCGACCACCGGCCGCGAGACTGTGCGCACTACTAGCTACAGCCTGCCCAAGGACGTTCATCCTGCTATCGAAATGGTTCAACCCACCACTCTCTTTTCCGACCTTGGCCTTAGCGACAAGAACATGATCCCAATTCAGCATGTTCCTGCGTCTTCCAACCAGGTCCTGGCTCGTGATGTTTGCTCCCAAGAGGGCTCGTCGACCAAGTGTCTTCGCCAAAACTACAACGTTCAGGGATACACGCCCTCCGGTGGGAAAACCACATTTGGAATCTGTGGCTTCTTGGGAGAAGTCCCCGACCCCACTAGCCTCAGCAACTATCTGCAGAAGTACGATAGCGACATTCCCTCCAACACCACGTACAGGGTTGAGACTATCAACAACGGCCCCACCGACCCTGGTGGTGAGGGTGAAGCCGATCTCGACGTTCAAATTTCCGTCGCTTTGGTCTATCCTATTGAGACGGTCTTCTACTCCACTGGCGGTAGCCCTCCGACCACTGGACCCGGTGGTGAGAAGAACGAGCCATACCTCGACTGGCTCAAGTACACCTTGGCTCTGGATCAACCTTCCCAGACCTACTCTATTTCCTATGGTGACGATGAGCCCACTGTTCCCGACGACTACGCCGACGCTGTTTGCGCACAGTTCATGAAGCTCGGAGCTCGTGGTGTCAGTGTTCTGACTGCTTCTGGCGACTCGGGCGCCGGCGGTAAAAGCTCTTGCCAGGGTGATAAGGTCACGTACTTGCCCTCGTTCCCTGCGAGCTGCCCCTGGGTCACCACTGTTGGCGGCACCACCGGCTACGGCTCCAACGAGCAGGGCTTCCGCGACGGTGGCGGCGGCTTCTCCAACCACTTTGGCACTCCCGACTACCAGGCCGATGCAGTCAAGGCGTACGTTGCACAGCTCGACAGCTCAATCACGGCCTCGTTCAACGCCTCTGGCCGTGCCTACCCTGACGTTGCGGCGCTCTACACCAACTTTCCTGTCTTCAGCGGTAGCTGGGAGGGCACTAGCGGTGGCACCAGCGCGTCTACCCCGACCACTGCCTCCATCATCCACCTTCTCAACGACTACCTCGTGTCCAACGGCAAGAGCCCTCTTGGATTCCTCAACCCATTCCTTTACAAGAAGGGCAAGGACGGGCTTCGCGACATTGCTAAGGGCCGGAATAATGTCTGCGGCAACAAGGCTGCGTTCCCCGCCGTCAAGGGCTGGGATGCCTCAACTGGTCTTGGTGTGCCCGACTTTGGCAAGCTGAAGGCGCTGCTGTAGACGGGCATATGAAGGATGAATATATATACCACTTATATACTGTACATGATAGTATGAATAACGAATAGAGTTGATCCTCTTTAACCCTCCTACCATCACAGGCGATAGTGGCGGCGGCAGCTCCCGGATCGCCAGCGCTTGACCCTGGCGCGCCAAGGTGTGGCGGGGTCGCCAAGAGCCGCCGCCCAGGCCCGGATGAAAGCGGGTTGGAAATTTGCGCATGATTCATAGACTGGTAGACGAAATGGGAATAGAGAAGAAATGGGACGCGCCCCAACTCCATAGCAGTATACAAGCGGCCTCGTCCGTTCAGTCGCGGATCGCACAGTGTAACGACCTTGCCCTACTCCAGGCCGCGGTACTGGTATCGTGACAGGCTAGGTTAAGGTTCGAATACACGGTGGCATCGCCTTTGCAGTTATCGTCGCTATTCATGTGATGATTAATTGTGTGTTTACAAAAAGGTAGGCAGGATTGAGTTGCATACTCGTATACGTAGCAAACCCATTGCCCGTGTTGGATACTAAATGAGCTGTTGGGAGCCGAACGAAAATGTTAGGGAAAGAGGTCTCATGGGATTAAAGTCGCGGTGATGAAGTCATACCCGACATTCGTCAATTTTATACACTCTCCCTCTTGGAGATCTCGAAAGGGTTTTGCTTGTATTGTTGTGCAGTCATGATCGCTGTAACGGTCGCCCTGGGTGAGGCAGTTAGCAAAAAGCAGGCCAATACCCTAGAGCAGAACGACGACAAACCATTGGGAGGCCGGATGACAAGGCCGCTGCTACAGATGCAAGTCCAAAAACGATGCGTAAGATCTGCATATTTTTGAGGTTATTGTGGGAGTTGTGAGCCTGTGAACAGAGATGAAGCATACAAAAGTTGCGGCGATACGGGGGCGAAGGCTTGAGAAGGCAAGGAGATGCCTTACTTATAGAGGAAGAACGACCACGATGAGTGCAGGCTCGTCTTGGTGTCCATCGTCCCGCAGTAAGCCGACACCAGGGGGTCTAGAACGACGACAAAATGGCGAGGAGAGGCTCGTGCTCTGGTGATGGCGAGGTGGTAGTTTCGAGACCACGCAGCCTGATTCTGCGACACGGGCAGGGCTGAGTTGCTACTTTGACAACGCCAGCCTGGAAGCGGCATCGCGAGGAAACTATCTGAATAGAAAAAAAGGGACTAAGAAAGGGCTCGTTTGAGAATGCAGGAAAATACGAGAAAGGGAAGCAAGACAGGTCCAAAGACGGCACAGGCGCAGGAAGCTGGTGTGAAGTGAGTCCCAGCCGACTAACACTGCTATTTCATTGCTATCGTGGGATGATTCCAGGCACAATCTCAAGAATACGCTGTTCTGATTTCTAGTCAATGAAAAGTACTTTTACTAGCCATCTATAAACATCCTTCCTAGACCTGTAGCGACGCCTTGCTCTCACTCCACCTTCTTGTCTAGCACCCTCCTGTCCTCCGCCCGGGACGACAGATAGCCCTTGGCGGCGTCAAAGTATCCAGCCCTTGCGCACTCGTACGCCAGCCACGACAGTATCACCACGTGCGTCATCGTGTTCGCCAGCGCAAACACGGCCATCTCCGCCTCCGCCATCTCCTCCACCCCCCTCCCGACGCCGAAGAACCCATGCACCGCCTCTCGCGGCAGAAAACTCGTCGCGAACCCAGCCCCTAGCAGCACCACCAGGCTCACGCGCTCCACGCTGATGAAGCTGGCGCAGATGGTGTGCAGCACCGCCCACCGGCGGTGCCGGGGGAAGTCGCGCGCGCGCGCGGCGGCGGCGGTCTTGTAGATGGTGAGCCAGTAAAAGGGCGCGATGAGCCAGAGGGTGAGCTCAAAGGTCGGCCAGCGGAGGAGGGGGGAGGGGAGGCCGGGGAGGGCGTGGAGGTGGAAGAGGTTGGGGTGCGTGTAGGCGTTGGAGGTGAAGAAGAAGAGGTAGCCGGTGAGGCTAAGGAGGAGGGAGAGGAGGAGGATGAGGTAGCCGGCGAGGCGGTGGAGGAGGGGGAAGCGCAGGCGGAAGCGGTCGTGGTGCTGCAGGGGCATGGCGAGGGACCAGATGATGGCGGGGACGACGTGGAGGGGGTGGTAGCTCCAGTGGCTGGCTCGCTTGCGAAGGTTGAGAAAGTGTTCCTCGGTCTTGTGAGGGTGTTGGTTAGCAGGGCTAGACGAGTCAAGAAGAGAGGGAGAGCGTGGTTACTGGCGTGCGACTGGTGGTGAACAGCTTGGCTTGGCCACCCTCTCGAAACGGGCTGTGGTATCCGGTAAAGGAAAAGGTGGCAAAGATGATCATGAGAATGCTCAAGGGGATGATGACCTGCTGCGGGATGCGCCACGGAGGATTGGCAGCCATGATGAGAGTGAGGGCATAAAGAGTGGTTTGAATCCTGGAACCGAGTCAAGGTAAATACTCCCAGAAGCAGGTATTGAGCAGGCCTCTCGCCTTTATAGATTGTGGCATAGAGTTATCATGTAGATAATAAACTATGAGTACTTGACATTGGTTCACTCTAAACCTTGTTCTTTGGCCCCCGCGATTTAGTTCTTCAGCCTCAACAAATAGCACAACGCGCGGAACAATGGGACCTCATTGGCACAAGAGACGAGTGAATTCAAGACAGTTACGTATTCCGGGTTTTTTTGCTATGCGGTTCTTCTCAAAATACGTCAGCCAATATCCCAACTTGGCTCAACTTACATGTGATAATGCACACTTCAGTAAGTAAAGGCAAGCCACCAACCCCGCAGTTCGGCTCGGCCGTCTACGTTATCAAGATGAACCAGTCACAAGCGTCTCAACAGATTCCTGCAACATCTAAATTTCAGCGGATTTTTGGGGACGCAGGGCTGCTGGTCAGGGGTAGCGTCCAATCATGTTGGTGCTGTTGCACATAATTCTGAGGGCTGAACACAGACAAATCAGATCCCTAGAAAATGCTGACATGTGATTTCGACTGTTCAATACAGACTCACGGAAACCACCCCGCCAATCCAGGTTAGTAATAAGCCCACTTGTGCAATCGTCTGCGCATTCACGTGTAACGGACTCGACCAATGCGTTCACGTTATCATTTGCTAGGAATCAGCGCAAGCCCCTAAGCCGCTATGAACGAAAGGTATCTTGACGTTGAAAAGGGAAATAAATAAATTAAAATAAAGGAGAATAAATGGGAAGCCAAGCCCCAGCCCAGCGCCAAAGCTCCGTGTTTAAACACAATCAAACCATGCATCAACGAAGCAACACCAACCCAGCCAATCATCCAGCGAGCGCAGTCATGTTTGTATTCCCCTGCTTCAGGAGCGTCTTCTGCTTGGGAATGCCATCCAGCAACGAGTCCGGCAGGTTCAGGTGATCCTTGACCGTCTGCTTCGGCGTCAGCGCCAGCCACTGCGCCACCGAAATGTCGGTGAACTTGGGCGCCTGCAGCACCTCGAGAAACACGAGGTCCTCCGTGCCCGTGTTCTCCACGTAGTGCGCGTCCGCCCGCGGCACGTACCCGACGTCGCCGGCCGTAAAGTCAAAGGTGCGCGCCGCGTCCGGCGCCCTGTACACCGTCGCCCGGCCGGACCCCCGGAGGAAGTAGTCCCACTCGTCCGACGACGTGTGCCAGTGCATCTCCCGCATCGCCCCCGGCCGCACCGTCACCAGCGCCGCCGAGAACCCCGCCGCCACCGGAAACGTCGTCGGGTCCAGGATCTTGACCGTGCCCCCCGGCGCCTCCCACGCCTCCTGCGCCGACCAGTGGTACGTGTACGCGCGCTCCGGCGGCACCCCGCCCGCCGGGCCCGTCACCGTCTGCTCGCGAATGTCCCTTGGCTGGGGCGTGCCGTTGAAGATGTACAGCTCCTTCTTGGGGAGGTCCCTGAACGCCTCCACCGGGGCGTCGTCGAAGTTCTTGGCCAGCACGGAGGTTGGTGTGCGCGCAAACATCTCCGACACCAGAAAGGTGCCGTTCTCGTCAAAGTCGCCCTGGTCAAACACCAGCAAGAACTCGACGCCCTTCTCGAACGCCTGGATGGAGTGCGGGACGCCGGCGGGGAAGAACCAGACGTCGCCGGCGCACAGGTCGTCGGTGAAGGAGCGGCCCTCGTCGTCGACGGCGGCGACGCGCACGCAGCCCTCGAGCACGAGCGCCCACTCGGCGGCCGTGTGCCAGTGCAGCTCGCGGTACGCGTGCGGCGCGAGCTTCATGTCCACGCCGGCCATGGCGGTGGCCCCCGGCAGGACGTCGGTGTTTTGCTGGCGCGCCCAGCCGGAGCGGGTGCCGGTGCCGAGGCGGTTGTGCGAGAGGCCCATGGGCCACACCGCGTTGGGCACGCTGCCGGCGTCGGTGCCGGGGGGCGCGAACACGTCCGGGTTGAGCTTCTCGTAGGCGTACGTGCGCGCGGCGGCGGCGCTGCTGCCGTGGTCGCCGCGGAAGGGCTCCGGCTGGGCGACGCTGTCGAGGTCCAGGTACAGGCCGAGGTCGGCGTCGGCGCCCTGGCCGGCGACCAGTGTAGGGTCGGAGACGTCGGCGCTGGATTGGCTGGTGTCGGGGATCGGGGCGTTGCCGCCAAGGAGGCTGCTGTCGCCGCGGAGGGAGCCTATCGGGGCTTGCACCTCGGCGACGGACGACGACCCGACGCCGGCGATCGGACCTTGATTACCGGCATACTTGATTCTGCAAACCCCTGTCGTCAGCCGCTGTTTGTGTGCCATGCAGAAAGCTTTGAGTTTATTAATAGTTTTTTTTTTCCCACTTACTGTGGCGCGCCGTAAGCACTACCTGTCAGCGACAGGAGTAGTAGTAATGCTTGTGAGCTAAAGATCATCGTGGCTGCAGTAGATCCGATGCGATTGCCGCTACCGAGGTACTAACACTGGCAGGAATGCTGTCTGTTGAAAGTGTGCCTGAAAGGAATTGTAAAGGCACCGCAGCCAGGACAGCCGGTCTTGGCTCTTAAATATCCTCAACCATCTCGAGCTTTGACACCAAAGCTCGGCAGCAAGTTGCCGCCAGGCTCCCATGAGTCAATATCGTCATGCGAGCCGTCCTGGGCCACGAATCTGGTTCGATGAGCCGCTAATTCCGGTGTGATCAAGCCATCGAGAAGCTCGATTCACGTATCAAGCCCACCGCCATTGGCTCCGATGCTCAGCGAGGCGGGCAGTCTAGTTCTGGAGTCCGGCACTCTGCTCCACGAGCATCCGTGCAGACGTCAAGGCAAGCATCCAAAGCTGGCAACTGATTCGCACAGGCAAAAATGTCATCCTGCTAGAGGTTCCTGCCCACGGCCTGCCACCGCAGTAGCGTCAAGGGCGATGCTACCCCGGCACCGGTGTCCCGCGCGACGCAGGGAGCGTTGGAGCTTGGCAGCGGCCTCTCTGCACTGCCACCCAAGCTATTCAAGCTATCGGAGAATCCATGCGCTGCATCTTCCTCGCGCCTCTTCTCTTCGCTCTAGTCCACTGCGACCACGAGCGAAAGCAAGCTCTACTGTGTGCGTATTAGCTTCCCCCATCCCCCGCCACCAGGTAGCTAGGGCCTTGCCGAACACCCGATTGCGTTGCATAATGACCCCTACGCAAGAGCGCAAGAGGCGACGAAGAAAAGAGGGCCTTCAGATCCGTATCGGCGATGGAAATTGGACCCGGGGATGGCGGGAGCGCAGGGAGCGCAGGGAGCGGCCGTCGATGCGAATACACGTCATTGCCGAAACAGGTCCGGTGTGCGTGGCAATAGGCCGAGTCTCATGTGTAGTGAGCTGGCAATCCAGCCGTGATAACCGGGTCCTACAGAAGAGCTGCAAACGAGGCCGGTTTGTAATTTGGTCCTCCTAGCACGGCGAAGGCTGGGATACACGGTCCGGCTCATGACCACGCCGCGATTTAGACGTCGTTTCTAGCAGACAAGACGATCTCGAATGTCTCACCTTTAATGACAACATGATGGCGAATAAATGGCAATCGCCAATGGCGGTGTAATTGCATAGCCATAACGACTAGCCGCTATGACCTCACTGTTTGGTGGCACCAAAGGGAGATTCGTGCTCGCAAGGCCATTGGACAATTGCGTGTTTCTTTTTGGGCAATCTGCAAAAAATGACTCGATGAACCGAGCACTAGCTGGGATACGAGATCGGTAGCAACAATTCCGATGCAAAAAGGATAATCGCCGACAGGAAAAACTGACAGAATTCCCGGGTGGCCGTGCACTCAGGACTTGCCCAGCAATTACCCTTGAATCCCAACCTCCCCAAGTCGCAGCCCATAGAATCACCGTAGCACGGACGCCAAGCAGTTTGGGATTTCTTTCGTCAACATCATTACTCGTGTTATAAGCGCAGGCCAGATATGAACTTCTCCCTGATACCATCGCCAGCATCACACCTCCTCGCTCGACCATGGCTTGCGCCTCATCACCTGGACAAAGAGCGTCGAAATGACAGTCAGAACGAGTGGCTGTGGCGATCGATCCATCTGAGACAGAATCTCACCTGCCAACTCTGCCATCCCTTACAGCGGGAGGGACGGGCCATTTATACATCTAGTATACCTACCACGACAACGTTCGGATTACCATCTTCCGCGCAGGGTAGCAATTCCACCGAAATTTTCCGATCTTAATTGCTTTCGGCTGTACGGCCGGGAGACGGACGGGCTTGCTGGTCTGCACGTCGGGTGGCGGTTTACGAGGTTCCCTGCATTCAGCCAAGTCAGCCGCTGCAGCCGCACGCCAAGGCAAGCAAGCTTCGGTGTCCGTACAGGGCAGAGGATCACTATGCAGACGAGTAATCAGGTGTCACATTTTTGGGGAGGTTGGACATTATTGTTGCAAGAGGACGGCGCATAGGGTCGATTCCCGTGCGAGGCGCGCGGGGGCACGATGAACAACAGATCCAAGGTTAAGGTTGCTCAGAAGCGCCTACGGCGAGATGGTGGCTGGCACATAATATTGACCAAGATGGTAAGTGAGACAAGACCAAGGGATGAAAGTGTGAAATGACAGGAAAGACAGAGCTAGCTACATGGTCATCCATGCCTGCAACGATAGCAACGTGGAGAAGGGGGCCGCAGAAAGGCTGTCCACGGTTGCAGCGCCGCTTGCATGTGCAGTAGGGATACTGACAATACATCATGCAAAGTACTGCGGACGCGCCAATCCCTCATGCCTAGGTCTTGGCATGTCAAGCCTTACAAGTCGACCACCCGCAACCAAGAAGTACGAACCGATGTACCTCTGGCATGGCGGTGTGGTTAACTGCCCAAGCTAGGTCACGATATGAGCTTGCGCACATCGCTAAGCATGAGGAAGTAGAAGTTGAATGTAGCTATGTTCCCTGAGAGGTTAGTTGAATAAGACAAGAAATAGATTATGGTATTTTTGCTATGTAAGAACGCACTTTCCGCATGCCAATATCTCCACGAGGGCTGATACCCTCTCAGCATTGCCTCCTGCCCAGATCTCATCACACATAAAATGTAAATACACGACGTTCACCGCTTACTCGCAGCTACAATAACTCCGCTCCACCTCCCGTGCCACCATCAGCGGCCGGGCATCGGCCGCGTCGACCCTTCAGTCGGCAGCTCGAAACAGACGTTGGTCGGAAGCTCGACCGGCCCGCTCGCATCCTGGGTAGCCACCGCCTGGTACGCCGGTGGAAACGGGGCGCTGGGCGTCGGAGGCGTCTGAACGTACTTGGACGACGGCACCACCGCCGAGTTGCGCGACCACACGGAGGACCGCCACATGCCGCGCTTGGGGGAGGCGGCCGTGGCCTGCGAGTCCGGGCTGAATGGGGCCTCCGACACGGCCGGGGCGCCGGTGTCGGCTGGCTGGTTGGCGGCGGCTGAGCGTTTGCGTCGCACCAGCCAGAGGATCAGCAGGGCGACGCCCACGGCCCCGGCGGCGGCACCGACGGCGATGCCGGCGGCCACACCCGGCTGTATGCCGCTGCCGCCGTCGCCGTTGCCACCGCCGATCCCTCCTGGCCCTGACGGGGAGGGGGCCGCCGTCGTCGTTGCGTCCGGGGCTAAGTTGGTCGGCGCTCCTATCCTGGTCGCTGGGATCGTCGTCGCACTCACCGTCGCCGCCGACGGATCGGGGACTATCGATGTTGCCCGATCCAGAAACGACTTGGCAGTGTCCTTGTTCTCGGCCAGCCTCGCCCCCTTGAACTTCGAACAGGACCCGACCCGGCACGGGTCCTCGACGCAGCAGCCCAGGAACGGTACTTTGATGTAGGCGCACGACCACCACTGGGCCGTCGGGTCCAGGCACATCTGCACCGGGATCTTGGGGTAGGCTTTCGGGTTGTAGGTCATCTGTCGGATATTCTTCTCCGGGCAGAGCCAGTCGGGCGTCGATTTCGGGTTGATTTCGCAGCAGCCCAAGAAGGCGGAGCTATTGAGGTCCTTGTCCGCGTAAAAGAGGCTGTACGTCGCGCAGCTTAGGCCAAACGTGTTTGGGACGTTCGCTGCCATCTTTGCGTCGTTGTCGTCGTCCGAGTCTGCGCGGACCGTCTCGAGAAGTCTGTTGGGGTCGACGGGGATGAGAAGCTGCTGCAGGCGGCGGAGGAGGAGGAGAGGGAGAGGCGGCTGGTTTTGTTATTTGCCCTCACCCTCCCTGAGCCATGCATGTAGTACCATTGCCCGGTTCAGCCGGCTGCATATTAACTAAAATGAGGAGCATGGATGTCTGAGAGGATTTTTCCCTGCACGGGCGTTTGTGCAACCTCGGAGGGAGGAGCGATGAGACAGTCAGTCGGGAGTGTCCGCGGTGGGCGTTGTTGGTGGCTGAAAAACATTCTCCCTCATTCTTTGTATCGTGTACACTGCCCAGGCTGTTGCGACGCCCTGTTTGCTAAATTTGGAACACTGAAAGAGAATCGACGGCCGGCTGCATGCAAGAATATGTGACCCCGACCCAACAACGCAACGTAGCCTGATCTTCATAAAATGGCTGGCAAAAGGCGGGAGCCAGACACACCTCGGTTGTTGTGTTTGTGTGACCTCGTCGAATCACGGATAAGCTACTGGGTAAACGTAAGACAGTCTCACATTTTTATATATAGAATATCCCTCACCTGGTTGACAAATGTCAAAGGTATTACGCAGAGTGATACAGGTACGTATTGTTAGCACGAGGCAGACTGCCATTTCTTTCTCATGTTTATTTGTTTATCATGTCTATCTTTGATCTCACAAGGTCTAATCTCTCAAGAATTTCAGGAAGCCTCTAGCAATAGCGAAACCGTCGTGCTCCTGGGCGACGCGGGACATTCCGTCGTTATATAGCTCGTCCGTAAAAACACCGACCGTGTGGCGGTTGAAGAGGATCTCCGTGACGATCTCCTTCGTAAATTCCGGGTGTCCCTGGACGGCGATGTACCTGCCGGGAGAGTACATGGCCTGAACGGAGCATACATCGTTGCTGCCGAGAGCTACCGCATCAGGAGGGAACTCTGCAACGATGTCGGTGTGCATCTGGTGGATTCTCTGGTGGCTCGAGTTAGTCTGACCGAACCGAGCGTCATCAAACAGGCTGGCCGCAGCCGCTGCAGCCGCAAACATACCATCTTCTCCAGGCCAAAGACCTCCCTGCCCTCGGGCGTCAGCTCCACATCAGTGACGGCCACCTCCCAGCCCTTGGGGTTGCGGCCGACCGCGCACCCCAGAGCGCGGCTCAGGATCTGATGACCGAAGCAGACGCCGATCACGCGCACGCGGTTCGTCGCCAGCGCCGCCCGCGTGAACTCGACGAGCTTCAGAATCCACGGGTCGCTGTCGAACGAGTTGTGCCGCGAGCCCGAGATGAGCACCGCGTCGACGTCATCGAGCGCCGGGTACGCGTGCAGGTCGTCGACGATGGCATGCCCGGTAATGGTGAGCTCGTCGGCGAGCGTCTTCGGTGGGGAGGAGGTGTCGTAGGCGCCCTGGAAGAGCGCGGTGAAGACGGCCGTGTAGCTGCCGACGCGCGCGCGGGTCTGGGGTTGTGGTGTGTCGGCTTCGAGAACGGCGAGCCGGATCGGTCCGGAGCGAGGCATGGCGGCGGCGCGGGTCGGGGGTCGAGGGAACGAGATGTTGGTATAGGCGAGCAGGCGCAGGATGAGGAGAAAAAAGACCACGACGACGATGCGGAGGATCAAGGGTAAGGGACGTGACATGGAGGGGAGGAGCGCGGCAGGTTGATTATCAAGGTTGACGTGGGAGGAGGGGCCGAACTCGGACGGCGGGGCGCGGACACGGTGCGGCGTGGCAGCGCGGCTAAAGTGGGAAAAACTCCGAGGAGGTTGTAAGTTGGTGGGCATACTACGGCCGTCGGCACTTTTTTCTTCTGTCCTTTCTTTGGGGAGACCGGATGAGACGACAATGCCTTGGTTTAAGAATGAAGCAGAATAATCTGTTTATTGCAGTCTGATTGGGTACCGGGTACGTATCTGCAACGCAAACGAGCAAATGTACCGACAGCTGGCAGCTGCTGAATGGCGGCAGGCAAGCAAACGGGCGCAGCGCGGACCGACATTTCTAGAAGCCAAATTACGCAGAAAGTCTGTATGTCGCTGTCCTGAGTTCCGTTTTCGGGCGGCGGGCACACCTGTTTGTGGATATACTAAGCACCCCCTTACTAGTACTCTAGGGCTTATCTAAAGGTACCTTTACTTACTACTTATACTTAGTAAGTATATTTCTAAGTATCTATAAAATATAATATTTAGAAAGTATATAATACTATAAGAAAAAAAATATAAGGCTAATATAAATAGTATAATATAAAAAACCTAATTAAAAGTTCTTTATATTTAAAAAGAGTAGATTTTTATATTTTTAAAGACTATTTATTAAAAGAGATTTATTAATAAAAAGTATTACTTTTATTAAATTATTCTTTAAGGTTTAAAATTAATAAAGTTTATTTATAATAATAATAAAAAGTATTTTATAATAAAATAAAGATTAAAGATTAAAAAACTACTTTAAAGAGTATATTTATTAGGGCCCTATTAAGAAACAGATTTACTATGCCCCTACACTATATATATTAGATATATAGGAGCACCTATATAATAGTAAGCTACTACTAAGCTCCTTATAAGGGGGTAATAATAATTCTATATTTATAAAAACATATAAGGGATTATTATATAACTAGAGTCCTTTAAGTGAAGCACCTTATATAGTAATAGGTCGTAGGGCTACTAAAGCTTATAGTAGAAGATTAAGTATACTAAGTGAATATATAAACTCTATAAAATTAAAAGTGAATAGAGAAAAAAAAACAGAAAGAATATAGGTTTCACTTTAAATAGGTATAGGGAGAGTAGACGCTTTAAATAGTAGAGGGTGGCTTATACTGACTCTATATCCTCTAGAGAAATATACCTGGCGGGTCTATCTCTAATATAGGGATTAGTGTTAGTTACTCTACTCTAGTTTAGACCCCTCTTTCTCTTTAGCTTTAGCTTATAATAATAGCTAATAGATATAAGCGTGGGAAATTAAGAGATAGAGCCGCCTATTATAATAGAGTCTAGGCTTCTTAAAGGTGTATACCTAGATATATAGCTACACTACTATTAGACGGACTTTAGTGTTTTCTAGGTGATATAGTCTTCTAATTACTTAACTAATAAGATAGAACTTTATCGACTATTACTAATAATACTATAAAAGGTAAATCTAGTTCTATAAACTATAATAATAATTTAAACTCTAATAAGTATATTAGTAAAGGTATATTTATTCTTAAATTAGTATACTATTTACTTCCTTATAATACTAGTTGTATATAGAACTAAGAACACCTACTTCTAAAAGTGAGGATTAGGAAAGTTAATAGTAATATATATATAAATTCAAGTTAACTTATCTAAAAAAGAAAGACTAGAAGAAGTAGCCTAGACTAAAGGTACTTACTAGTAGATTCTATCTTTTTTTATACATTAGACTTCTCTACACCTTAGTAGAGTTATAGTGCGCTATAAAACCTACTAGTAGAGTTTAATAACTTTTTAAAGTCTTTTCCACCTAAGTCTTAAGTAGAAAAGAGACGAACACTACTATTAATTTTAAAATTACATTTATTATATTATAGATAAGTGTCCCTATTTAACCTAAAATCTATTTCTATAAGTAGATATCCTATAAGGGGTAGAGTAAGAGCTCTTATATAATAGATATATAGACGAACTACTTCTACTACTTAACTATAATTTTTTATCTAAATATAATAGATACTATCCTCTATTTAATATGTGTAACCTCTCCCACTTAGCTAAGCTTATAAGCAATATCTTTAGAAAACCTACAGTATTCATCCGACTTAAGTGATACGACAGGGAAAGACCATGTACTTAAAAGTAGAGACACGTACCATGCGACTTAACACTCTAGTGACAATCGGTTTTTACAATCCTCAAGTCTAAAGGAAACTGGCGATTTCGCGCGACGTAAGTCCGACGGAGTGCAGCTTAATAGCGCAAGTGATGTGATACGGCTGGCTTTCGGTGCAAAGGCCGTCTGCCACACGTCCAGAATTCTTACTATTCTGTGAAGGGAAAGCCATCTTCACTCACGGAAAGTACAAAATGTAATTTACTGCCTAGTATATAGCGTGCCGTATGTAATGGGGTAGATGCATTTATACTTGGACTGCCAGGACAGACTTTAGATGACATCTGCTACATTCGGAAGATTGTCTTAAGCTTCGATCTGGTTCTGGTGTACGCAGAATGGCTGCGAATAATTTTTAGGGCATAGATGGCGTCTCTAAAACGTCTTCCGTCTATAGCCATGATAGGTCCGCTGCAACCACTGGACTGTCATCTCGTCCGAAACGGTCGTATCTTGTGGGCTTTGGCGGCCGTGGCATCGCCTCGTCGCGCATCCGCTTGGCGTCGGCTTCTAGAACAATCCTCTCCCACTCGGGCTTTGCTTGGACTTTTTGCCGTATATAATAATTCTTAGCCTATCATGACACGTCAGCACGCGGACAAAGGCGGGGGATCAGACAGGGGCACTTACCATGACGGCAGTCTTGGACCGCATGTGGTGGCTAATGGCGTTCCAGTCGCTGCCAAACGACGCCAGCAGCAGCGGGAAGTCGTTGGATTCAGAAACGCTCCAGCAGGCAGATGCATGGCTGGCTGCGTTCGAATTGCTTGCTGGCGCCGTGGCATCAACACCGCGAGTTCGGCGCGATTCATTGGCCGCAGTGCCACTACTAGCCTCCTGCTCCTCCTCCGGGGTGGACTCAGTTGAACATTGAACTTGCTTGGATTTTTCGCCAAGAACCATCTCAGCAAAGAAATCCTCTCTAAGTTGCCAGCTTTGAAAATCTTCAACATCTTCTGCTGGGATACCATTATCGCTGGCGGCACCACTGTTCTTCTTAGCATCACTTCCCTCGCTCCAGTCGGCGTCACTGTGTCGCCAGCTAATCAACTCCATACCAACCCCAACTTGAAAACTAAATTCAGCTAGAGCATCATCATCGCTGCCGGCACGACTGTTCTCCTCGGCCTCACTCCCCTCGCTCCCGTTGTCGTCTCCTGTGCTGGGCAACGCAAAAAGTGCCAAATCTTCCAGGTGTCGCCCGACATGCTCCTCGTACTGTTGCACCGACTTGCACCAAAAGCTGGCACAGAGGGGGCAGTTTTCCCTGGGCTTGCCGATATCCACTCTACCGCTGAGACTCTCGAGGCTGGCCAGCTTGGCGCCTGACATCTCCTGCCCGTGCGTTGCACACAAATGCGCCTGCAGCCCCTTTTTGGACTCGAACAACTCAGGGCAACCAAAGGCACAGTGCCAGATTTTCCAATGCTCTGCTTTCATGTGCTCCATCCAGTGCGCGCGACGTGGGTAGAGGTGATCCGGAACGGAGCAGTCCTCTCGGAGACAGACGTACGGCTGAAGATCTCGAAAGACGTGGCGCCTGGATTCGGTCAGATGCTGGCAGTGTCTGCTGGTAAAGAAAGCACTTACTTCCAATCACTGCGATTGTGTACCAGGATAAACATGTGGCAAAACGGGCATTTGATTGGCCCATCTTCATGCTGCGCTGGGAGCGGTGGGATGCGAAGCCGATGTGTTGAAGAGACGGAAGTTGCATACGACGTCCCGGAGGCCTCCGATATGTTGTCGCTCATCAGTGGCTCTGTCGGACCCTGAACCCCTTTCAGATGCTCCGGCAGTGACGAGGCCAGTGTCGTTGCGCGCTCGACGGAATCCGCCGCGGCCACTGCAGCGTCCTCTTCCAAACCGTCCGTCAGACGCAGAGTGTGATCCTCTCGGTATTTGAGGTACTGCCGCCGACGGGATGTCGCTCCGGCCAGCCGCTCCTTGACCCAATCATCCGCATTGGGGAACTTCGCTTGCATATGTTGCATGTCCCAGTGCTTGAAGTGCTGGACTATCTCGGCGCCTGCCCGGGACTTGAACTGATCATGCGGCGCCGGATTTCGTATCGTGACGGACAGACGCAGCAGGCAGTTAATCTCATGCCCGATACTCTTGACGATGGCATCCATGTTGTCCTCTTGCTCTTCTTCGCTGTCTAGAAAATACTCTGCCAGCTCCTCCAGGGTAGTATCTGGCGCTTCCCCCGACACGGGCGGCGCGCTGCCTCCAGTGATCAATGAGATGGCTAGCCACTATCAGTACACGCGATTGGCAGGACCCATTATCGGACTTGCCTTCGTTGAGGGAATCACAAAGGTCCTGCAGCACGGAGAGAATATGGTTGCGGATAAAGGATGCGTCGCGGAGCCGATACTCGAGTGAACGGCTGCCGAACGAGCGGTGTGCTCCGAGGCTTCCCGCCCATAGTTTGAATTTTGCGGCGTGTGAGACGGCCTGAGAACGGTTGACTGCATCATCGCTCAGGCCAGCCACAAGCGACTTGAAGAGCGCGAGGCCTCGGTTGACGAGCACGGCAAAGCGCGACTCCAACAACATCTGCCCCGGCTCAGTCTGTATACTTGTCATGACGACGATAGTAACGCATCACAAAGCACTATATAAGAAAACAGACATTATATCTTGTTGGAAGCCTTGCGACAGGTCGGCCACCCCGCTCACGCAGCCTCGTCGTTGGCCGGCACGTGTGCGGGGTAGCGGTTCGGGCCGCATCTCAGCCTCGACTGAGCTGCTTCTCCATCACGGCCTTGCCAAGTCCACCGCAGGCAGCATGTCGGGCTTCGAGATAGTCGGGCTCGCTCTTGCCGTCCTCGGCGTTTTGCCCGCCGCGGTGGAAGCCGTCAAGGGCTATAAGACCTTGCTTTCGTCGATTAAGCATGTCGAACGCGACCTGGGAACCCTCATCCGGGACCTTGAGACGGAGCAGGTCCGCCTGCGCACGACGTGCGAGATGCTCCTCGACGGGGTCGTGCCGTACTCGATCATCGACACGCTGATTGAGAACCCGTTTGGGACGGAATGGCAGCCTTACAAGGATCAGCTGCGGCTGCGGCTGTGGTCGTCCTCGGCCAAGTTTGAGGAGCACGTACTCGAGATGCAAAAGGCCGCGTTTGACTTGAACGTCAAGTTGAACATTCAGGCCAACGGCCAGGTGAGTCTCTCATCGCTGTTTTATGGCTTTGAAACACTAAGTTCTTGTGTGGTAGACAGCCATCAAAGACCGGACGTCGATTCTCAGGGAGCTAAAGCAGAGCGCCTCTTTCTCGTTCAAGAAGAAAGACTACCAAGTCATTATAGACAGGATCAAGACAAGTAATTCGATCCTCCACGACCTCGCCAGTCAGAGCTGCGGGATGGACTCCAGCAGGCAGACGAGGTCGCAGGCCCGACTGATCAAGCTGATCCGCGGGCTGGCCAAGAGTTTGTTTCACGCCCTCTGGAACGCGACCACATGTGACTGCATCACACCGCACCAGGTGTGCTTGGAACTGGTCCCGAGGAAAGCCGTCATTGTGCCTAGCGATGCTGAAGAAGACGTTGCCAAAAACTTTAGCTTTTATGTTGCCTTTGGCTCACATGGCATTCCTGCGGAGACTAGCGCCGATACGTTGCAAAGGCAGAAACCACAATGGAACACGTTTGATCTTCGAATAGAAAATATCGAGACCAATCTGGCCATTCGACCTGTCTACGCGCCACTCGCAACGGCAGCTCCAACACCATCGAAACGAGTAGGCTGGTCCGCGTCGTTGAGCTCCGGCTCCAACTCGGCGCAATCAACGCGAACCTTGGTTGATGCATCCAGGACGCTGCTTGCCATGCCGGCAAGGACTGTGCATGCGCATGACCCAATCGCAAATATATGCCGGGACATCTTTGGGCGGCAAACCATGGCGGCGACACCCTGCCACGGATACATTACAGATGCGACCCGAACCTTTGGACTCTACCCTCGATCGCAGGCTGCCGATACTATCGGACCCGTGACGCTTCGAGAGCTGCTCGACGAACATATACACGGCGGCATGGACTTGGACTTCAAACGGAAGCTGCAAGTTGCGCTCGCCATTGCTACGTGCGTGCTACATCTGTATAAGACGCCATGGCTGCCGAGGGTGGTCACGTTGGATGACTTTGTATTTCTTCGTGCAGATGTGAGCCTCCTGTCCGGGCCACTAGCTGCGGAACTGCCGTTCATAGCAAAGAGCGGTTTGAACGGGTCGCTTACGCCGAGCCACGACGACCAGCAGCGCCGGCCCGTCAACCTGACCATCCTCTCTCTCGGTGCCCTGCTCATACAGGTCATCGTCGGCAGGACCATCGACGAGTTGAATATGCCAGGAGATGCCGAGATGAGCATGAACGGCATCGTCACGCGGTACGAAGCGGGCAGCCGACTGCGTGATCGGGTGCTGGAAAACGGCGGAGTGCGATACGCAGGCGCCGTCAAGTGGTGCCTTGACAACGTCTTTAACATGGCCAGCTTGGAAAATGAAGCCTTTTGCCAGGAGTTCTACAACCAAATTGTTGTGCGACTGCAAGAAGATGTTAGCTATTTGAATCAAGAGATCTAGAGTGAAATTTATATAAAATATATATTGCCTAAAATGAAAAACCGCTAAAACGGCGGACTAACTAGATGTAGATAGCTACAGTAGCTAGACTACGACTAGACCCGCGAAGGAAGTAGACTGGCACTTTAAGTAAGACAGCCTAGGTCTTATTCATAGCTAGTATTATAGACATTAGGACCCTAAGTATTATTTATAGCTATTGTTATAAACATTTAGGACCCTAAGTATTCTTAATTTTTAGTATAATACTACTTAAAGTAGTCTAAACTTTATTAGTAAGGATATATTAATAAATATAGACTATTAATTATTTAATTTATTAAACTAAATATAATAGTAGTTTATTCTTAATTTATAATTAGTCTACTTCTTAATATAATAGTAGTTTATTCCTAATCTATAGTTAGTCTACTTCTTAAGTAGGGAGTTAGTTTAAATATATAAAGTATATATAAGTAGTTATTATAATATAAGTTATATTAAGAGATATCTTCTAATAGTAGAGCTATTATTTAGATTAATTAGTAGAGATTTAGACTACCTAGCTATAGGAATACTATAATAGTGGCTTAATCCTAATCTATAGTTAGTTTATTTCTTAGGTAGAGAGTTAGTTTAAATACATAAGTGTATATAAGTAGTTATTATAGTGTAAGTCACATTAGGAGATGTCTCCTAATAGTAAAGTTATTACTTAGATTAATTAGTAGAGATCTAGTCTAGCTATCTACTAGAAATCCCCTTCCTTATATATCTATCTTATTCTCTACTACATTCCTAGGATCACTTTAGATTACTAGTGATTTGATCCTTATAATCTAATACCTATAGGATCACTACTAGCTTACTATAATCTATAGTAATCTAATTATATAACCTTATATTCTAATTAGGCGACTTATAGGTTCCTACTTAGTCGCTTCTTTAGACTATCTCCTAGCTACTTTATATATATTCTTAATTTATAATATTATTCTCCTCCTTTATTAGTTTTATTTTTAAGGCTACTATATTAAGTCTCTTTTTCTTTTATTTAGTTTATTTCTTCTTCTTATATTATTATACTTTACTATATCTAATTGTATTTCTAAGCCCTACCTTTTAAAAGCTAAATAGTGTTTTAAACTTACTACTACTATTAAGGAATTTAGTATTAAAGTTATACTTTATTCTTTTTATTATTTTTAAAAACTTCTTTATAAGATAATAAAGGGTAGGGTGTTTCTTATTATAAAGAGTGTATTTATTATAGTTACTCTTATAATAGTTTAAGTATACTAATATCTTCTTTTAATTAAATTATTTTAGAATCCTAATATTTATATTATAAGGAGGAAGAAGCTACTATCCTCTTTTATTATCTTTAATAAAAGTCTTTTAAAGTACTAACTAAACTAGAATACTTATAAAAATAATATAAGTCCTTTATAACTTAAGGTTCTACTATAGTTAAATATAGTCTTTAGTTATTAAATAAGCTTAATAAGTCTAAAAGAATTAAGTTAGAAGTTATAATTAAGGTCTAGTCTTTAAGTTATATAAACGTAGTAGATTAGAATGTTATTTTTTTAGATTTATTATAGATACTTAAAAAGGAACTTAATAAATAGAATACTATTTATTAAATTATTAAAGTAAGTCTAAGTATCCTATAAGGTTCTTAACTAGTTCTTAAGTGTTTTTAGAGTTTAAGTATTCTTTCTATTTAATAAGATAATAATAATTCTTTTATATTCTTTATATTTTAAATATCCTTTTAACTTTATACTTTATTTATATCTTTAATAGTAACGTCTATAGTGAGTGTTATATTACTTAGTACTTTCTCTAGTAATAATATATAAAATATAGGATGTATTTTTATCCCTTCTAGTAATAATAGTTTATAGTTAACTTTTAATAGTTTCTATTTAATAAGGAATAGTCTAATTTTCTTCTAGTTAAGTTTATTATTAGGTTATTTTATTTTAATGTTTTTATAAATAAAGTAAACTTTATCTCCCCTCTCTAGGATTAACACTAGTAATCTCTTTTTATTTATATAGTGTTTTATTTAATTCTATAAAAATATCTATTCTATTTATAAGTGTTTTTATATCTCTATAATTATTACTATATACACTATAGCTACTAGTATATTTACTTTCTATATTATATATATTCTAATTATAGGGTTATATTTATAATTTACTCTAAAAGGTAATATTTTTATATTTTTATTTTCTAAGCTATTTATAGTCTATTATATAAGTAGTAACTATTCTACTTAATTATTTTATTAGTAGTATATAATAAGTATATTTTATTAATTTATTAATAATAACTAGAATACTATTATAGTATACTATTATTATAGATTCTTTAGATTTTAGTAATTTAATAATAAAGTCTATAGTAATTATTTATTATACTCTTTCTAATAGTAGTATTAATTATAGTTCTCTATAAAGTGTGTATTATACTATCTTAGTTTTATTATAAGTATTATAGTTCTTAATAATCTTCTATACTATTCTTCTACTTCCTAGGAAGTTATATAATCTTCTTAACTAGTTAATTATTTTCTTTATACTCTAATATCTATATAATAGGTATTTATATATTTCCTTAATAAACTACTCTTAAAGTATATTAAGAATATATTAGTATTTATTAAATAAGTAGTTATTCTTACTCTTAATTATATATAGTTTTACTTCCTAATTATCTAAGTAATTATCTTTTTTAATATAGAATATAATATATTCTATTTATATATTATCTAGTTTAATTTACTTAGTTATACTAATTCTTTATACACTTAGTATAAAGTTCTTATTCTTATTAGTTTATAATAAGAGTATATTATTATTAGGGCACCTATTAGAAGCCCCTACACTATATATATTAGATATATAGGAGCACCTATATAATAGCGAGCTACTACTAAGCTCCCTATAAGGAGGTAGTAATAATTCTATATTTATAAAAATATATAAGGGATTATTATATAACTAGAGTCCTCTAAATAAAACACCTTATAGGATTATTACTACTACCTAGTATATAAGAAGTTAGACTACTTATAGTATAATAACTAAATAGATAACTTCTTCTTTATAACCTAGTAGTAAATACACTATAAGTAGTATATAAATCTTATCCCCTATTTAATTAGACTTAATAGATAGTATTATAACTATAACTATTAGTATAATATCTATAGAAGAAATATAAATTAGTATCTAATATATAGTAGAAGAGTAGAAATAAGTATAACTTATAGTGTACTATAAATAAGTAATAAAAGGTTAATATATTATAGTAACACTAGAATTAGAAACCCTATTAAAGGAGTAACTTTATAAGAAATATATTATAATAATAAAACTATTTAGTATAGCCTTTAGTATAAAGTTATTCTAAGAATATATTAGCTTTATTATTATACTATAAATACACTTTTAGGCACACTTAGAAGACTATATAGAAGATATTAAAAAGGTTATATACACTATATAGTGCTTATAAGGAGAGGTATAGATGTAATAAGCCTACTTCTTTATAGTGAACTTATATAGAAACTATTAAGGGTTTACTTAAGAGAATTTTAATACTTAGTATAAAAAAGAGCTTAGTGACACTAATATAAGGGTGTAATAAGCTATCTATAAGATAATAAAGTATAAATAAAAGGGTAATAAGCTAGTAAGGAGGTATCTTTACTATATAGAAAATATAGTAATAGAGCTAGTTAACTTATTACCCCTTACTTTTTATATTACCTTAGTACTAGAAGGCTTAAGTAGTTAAATTTAGATAGTAATAAGTAGTAGTAGTACACTAGATATATAGAAGTAGCTAGAGTCCTATATAGAGAATATAGAGAGAGTAGTAGATGTACTTAACTAAAGGGATATAGGGTAGTAATTATATCTTATATTAGTAATAGAAGAGTCTTAATAAAGTAGTTACTAACTCTTAATAGAGATATAATAAAAGAGTAAGGAGATATCTTAGGGTTATTTTAAATATAAGGCTAAACACTTATAGTAGGATTATACTATACTAGACTATATAATCTATAGGGCCTTTAACTATATAATAAAGAAGTACTATAGTTAACTAAAAGGAGTAAGAGTAAGGTAGCTACTAGCTAGTAAAGATATAATAATATACTTAAATAATAGCCTAATAAAAAGGCGTTAATTAAAAGAAAAATAGAATAATATCTACTACTACCTTTATCCTAAATATAAATAACTAATAAAGCTATAGTAAAGTAGTAGCTAGTAAGAAGTAATAGTATTACTAGATAGTAGTAGTAACCTAAATATTATAGATAGAAGTATAGTAAAGAGAAAGTAAGACTATAGTCTACTTATAGTTATTCACTTAGAATACCCACTTATAGGGGAAAAGGTACTAGTAAAAGAGGAAATTATAAAAATAATATAAATAATAGATAACTTAAGGTATATAAAAATAATAAGAGTTCCTTTTATTATTATTAATTCTTTAAAGAAGATAATACTTAGAAGATAATAGCTCTTAGAAGAGAATATATTTATATATAGAGGAATAGACTATTAGAACTTTATATTAAATAAATAATATATTAAAGTTATATATATAGTATAGAGTGCTTATAAGGAAGTAAGAAGGGTGAAATTTATAATAGTTCTAATAAGTATTAAACTAAACTAGGATATAAGAGATAAAGCACCTATAAGACTACTATAAGAGTACTTTAACTTTATTAATATCTTTTTACTAGAGGAGATAAAAAAGCTACTACTATTAGACGGCCTAATATATATAATTAAACTAGAAGATAAAAAAACGCCTCTATAGGGTCCTATCTACCCTCTTATACTAAGAGAGCTAAAAGAACT